ACTTCTACCTTCGACGCCGGATCTCTCAGGCACAAGAAGCTTCGAGGACCGTCCAGGAGTGTATCTCCACAGGCTTTCAAACAGGCATCTCGCGGCCGGATACAGCTGCCTGGTGAGGATCGGGCCTCGCCACATATTCGTTCGGCCCATGATCGAGGCGGAAGCTGCTCACTCTGGATCGCAAAAACGTGGCAAGAAAACAAATCAACTAATATACTCCTTTGATGCAGTGAAAATCCGAGCGCTGCTGCTCCAAATCTCAACAAAGGAGACTCTCTCCTTAGGTGAGTACCTCCGCGAGTGGAGCGGAATGCTTGAGATTCCTCTTCGACAGGCTCGTGACTCCTTCACAGCTCTGGGATATGATTTGCCTAGCGAAGCGGCCTCGTCAGATCGAGGAAAGGAAGGAGGAGTTCCTCCCCTTCCAGCTCCAGAGCCAGCGTCAGGGTCAAAGGGTGGAGCTCCTCCCCCCACTCAGATCGTAGAGATCACTGACAACAGCACAGCCACACCAAGGAGCTCCTCTATTGTGGCATGGGAGGGTGAACCAGGCGACCTAGGTGAATATTGCACAGCCTCCATGGATCCAGAGACCCGCTTCTCGTTTGAAGTATCCAAAGCGCTGGCAGCATGCCTCAGACATGGACACAGACCGTACATCAATGTCACTTCGGCAGGGTGGGCCAAGCTCGAGGACGTGGTTTCATGGCCAAGAGTGCAGAACCAGAACGCCACGGCAGGCGACCTCATGGAGATTGTTCGTCGTAACACCAAAGGCCGGTACGAGTTGGGAGACTGCCGAGGCACGAAGTACATCAGGGCACTGCAAGGACATTCTCGCTCGGATGTGAACTCGTCAGAGGTGCTAGAGGAACTCACGGAGGAGATGCTCCCCGGAATGCTCTATCACGGCACCTACTGGTCCTTGTACGACCCTATACGTCAACAAGGCCTTCTGCCACAAAACAAGATCTCCAAGGGCCGCCGCAAAGGAGGACGTGGCAGGGAGGGACGGCAGCATATCCATTTCGTGGCGGACAGCGATTATGGGAAACCAGGTGTCTCCGGCTTCAGAGAGAACTCGTCCATGCTGGTGGCGGTAAACCCTCGCAAGGCCTCACAGGCAGGGGTGAAGTTTTTCCGTAGCAAGAACGGCGTCATTCTCACCCCAACTGAAGTGCCTCCTTCTGTCATAGAGTACTATCAGAGTCTGAAATCAGGCACTAAGTACGGAGGCGACAATAGGCCGCTCTGACACCAGAAAGAGAGCCCCGCCAAATGGTGGAGTCGCTCCCCAAGCAGACATTGCAGCCGCTCAGACCATAAATCGGAGTCTAGGTTAAGGGTTAACTCAGCATGCATCACCTGCCAGCAGCCAAGTATCCCGAGGTCAGATCCACAATTCGATGCAGAGCCTCGGGCCCAGTCCTTGCAAGTGAACTGCCAGCCAAAGGATCACAAAAGCAACTTATGCATGTCTGACACAGGCTCAACTCACCAGCTGTCTTGATTCCAGTAGTCATGCCCGAAACTCCTAAGAAAAGTGGCGCCAGAGCGAACTCTCGCACCCCTCCACCAGTGAGACGTCGTCCTCACCTACTCAGGTCGCCGCCATCCAGTGATGCTATCCGGGAGTCAGACTCAGAAGAAGCAGTGGCACCCAAGGCTGATGCTCCTAAGGGCCCGCCGCCGCCGGTGCCTGTCAATCTGTCGGGAAGTGGATCCAGCACGGATCTGGCACCAGGAGGTACAGGTAAGGCATCTGGAGCTCCAGTCAAAGCTGGAATCCCAGGAGGAGTCCCTCCCCTGGGACCCCCACCAAAAGCTGTGACCTCCACGATCTCCCATCCGGGAACTGGAGAACTCTATGTCACGAGCACTGGTCCAGCAGGAGTTACTCCGCCATCAGCGAACACCAACAACGAGTTGGAAAGGGCGCCTGGCATACCTCTACTGAGCATCTCACTGCCTCATCGCCTCTTCTACAACATAGAGCTTGTGGTTCGCACTGAGCCATCACAGCGAGTCTAGAGTACTCTTTCGCGACAGCAGCTGAGTGCAAAATGTTCTGCTGCCAATCAGTCAGTGATACATTGCAACCAAGCCGGTTAGCTTTCAGCTAGTGCCGAAATCTTAACTCGCATAAGACTCTGAAGACACATTCCCTTCCCACTTCACAGCTTGCAGCCTTGAGGGGCGGAGCGTGAGCAAGTGCTGTGTTGAGGCACGGCTTGCCGTGAAGAGTGACCGCGCAAGCAGCAAGCAGGGCACTAGGTCGATCCCTCGCAAAGCGTGGACGAAAAGTTTCACCACAGACAGTCCTCCCCCGCTGCGTGTGAATGAAAATATTGCTGTCGTCGTCGCTGTCGTCATTGTCGTCGTTGCTGTCCTTTATGTCCATGTCCCGATTGTTGTGGTTGTTGGTTTTGTTGTCGTTGTTGTCGTTTTTGTTGGTTGTTGACAACAACTTGTTGTCGACTGCTGTTGCTGTTTGCTGTTGCTGCTGTTGTTGTTGCTGCTGTTGCTATTGCTGTTGCTGCTGTTGTTGTTGCTGTTGTTGTTGTTGTTGTTGTTGTCGTCGTCGTTGTTGTTGTAGCCGCTACGGCTCACAGAAGGCATCTTAGGAAACATAACTGTGCTTCGGGCGCAACTCAAAGGTTTGCAACAAGCTCCGTTGCGAAGCGTAGACGACATCCTTCTGCCTGAGCCATTTGAGTGTGCCTCGAAGCTTCGTGCCTCTGTGGACGGCCGGGTCCCGATTCACGGGCCTCCGCGACAGCAAGTTCTGGACAAGCTGGAGGGAAGCGGTAGGGTTTCCACCTTTCCGCACGGTGGTAAGTATTTGGTTTTACACCAGGTGTTGCGAAACTAGCGGATGGCGCGCCGACTGTGCCTCAGTGTTTTTCTTCCGCTTTTGTTTTTACAAAAGGACCTGCTGCACCAAGCCAGTCAAGGAGCAGTTCCAGTCGTAAGTTGGCCGTTTTCTTAACTGGAGTATCTTGAAGGAAGCTTTCGAATCTTTCGAGACGAGGCCTCGTTCCTTGCCTTTTTTCGACGGTTCAACTTCTTGACAAGACACCCAGGGACAGCTGAAGGTTTTTTCTGTGCAGTTTTGCCGGCACTTTGGTTTTGCGCTTCTACGAGCACTCTCGTACAAGAAGGACCTGGATCGCCTGTGCTTTTCAAGCAGTCTGCTTCGGAAACTAACATTCTTCCAACTGCAGGGGCTGCCACCGGCTGCGACGAAGCCAGTGCGATCGATTTCCTCCTTCACTGTTGAAAGCCTTTCGCCCAGCACCGCTGTTAAGCTGCCAGCGCCGGGGAACAAGTCAGAGACGGGAGAAGACCGAGAGGATCGGTGCCACTTTGAGGCTTGCAATTCGTTAGCATCCTCCAAATGCTGGCCGAGATGTGCACCCCAGGGACTGCTCTTGTTATGGGGTGCCCTTGAGGGCCTGGGACGGCTATATCCTCCCGTCCCACTTGTGTTCGTTACTGTCCTGTTACCGACCCCGTCAGGCAGTGCCAGGAGTGACGGTTCACGTGCCTTGACGACGAACCATCCTTACGGTCCATCGCTGGTAGTCTGGATTTACCTAGTGTGCGACGCCACTAGACGGGAACTCTGGGAGACGGCTCTTCTGAGTACGACCCGCCGGCTACCAGTTCGTGATTCTTGGATGCAATGATTCACACTGAGGGTGGCGGAGGATACAAAATATAGGTTTGTGAGCCTAACTGTCACATGAGGAGTCGCGGGCACCACCCGTGCCAAAACAAAGGCACCGCCTTGGGGAACTGATAGCAAAGTCAAGTGACCTGCTTCCTTGGAGCAAGTGTTGAAGAGCTACCGCTGCATTGCACAGATTGCAGCGACTCTCTTTCATTTAGGCCCTACTAGGTCAGCTTCTCTAGCAAAACCTCTTTTTCTTTTTTTCAGGACCCTATAGGTTGAGCGGTCTTCTCTGAAGGATTCCTTGCTCGGTGAATGTTTTTCTGTTTTAAGTGTTGCGTCAGAAACGGATGAAGAAGGTACTTGCGATGATCGCAGGGCAGTCCCCTCGCGCCGCTGCCACAACCTCTACCAGGAACTTTGAGGCCGCTTTAGCCCTGTTGGAATGTCGGCAAGTCAGCTACTACGGGGCGGCGCTGGCTTACAGCATGTCTCGAAGTCTCATGCGCCCGCTATGAGCAGCCCGTTCGCTCAGCGTCCAATAGAAATCGTTGTTGTCGTCGTCGTTGTGGTTGTGGTTGTGGTAGTGGTTGTGGTTGTGGTTGTGGTTGTGGTTCTTGTTGTTGTTGTTGTTGTTGTTGTTGTGGTTCTTCTTCTTGTTGTTGTTGTTGCTGTTGTTGTCGTTGTTGTTGTTGGTTGCTGTTGCTGTTGTTGTTGTTGCTGTTGTTATTGATTTTTGATTTTTGAGTACTGATTTTTGATTGCGGATGGTTGATTATTAATTGCTGATCATTGATTTTGAGTTTTTGATCGTTGGTTGTTGGTGGTTGGTGGTTGCGGTTGTTGCTGCTGTCGTTGTCGTCGTCGTCGTCGTGGTTGTTGTTGTTGCTACTGTTGTTGTTGTTGTTGCTGCTGCTGTTGTTGTTGTTGTTGTTGTTGTTGTTGTTGTTGTTGTTGTTGTTGTGATCCGTGATTGTTGTTGTTTTTGTATTTTGTTGTTGTTGTTGTTGTTGTTGTTGTCCAGTTGCAAACTTGTTGTTGGTGTTAGAGTTGGCGTTGGCTTGGCGGTGGCGGTGGCGGCGGTGGTGGTGGTGGTGGTGTTGTTGTAGTTGTTGGCGTTGTTGGTGTTGTTGTCGGGGAATTGTGACCCACGCTCATCATCTAATCAGCTAATCAATGCTAATCATAAACATCGTTTCACGAAGGAGGCGAACAGCGAACATATCCGAAATGAAGAAGCAACCGCCCTCCGGGACAAACTCTTCCCTGCCAGTGTTTCCGGATGTTTCTATGCACGAAGAGTGCCTGTCATGCTGGTGCATGTAAGGATCGCTGGTTGACCGGGAAGGTCTGCAGAACTGGTCTCAAGATCAGCATGATGTACATCGCCAAAGAAGAGATACTTCGTTGTACCCCAGATGCAGCCGGGAGTTGTGTTAGGGCTGTGGAGTCGTGTAGCAAGCGGTCCTCTCAGATTCTGCTTTTTGTCGTAGTTTTGCGAAGATGTGACGTCTATGGGAGCTTCCAAAAGTACAGATTAGCCAGGCAGATTCTGTGGCGGCCCAGAAAAAGGCAAAGAGGTGCGCATCAAGCTCCCACCGGACGCGGTGGCGAAAGTCCGGCCTGAGGAGGTCAGTGGTGGGGAGGTACTGCAGCTTTACGTTGAGGCCTCTGGCGGTGTTGACCCACGTGAGCAGCCCGCTGCTGGATCGCAATAGTATCGCAATAAACACAAGCGATTGGGGGATCCATTGCACAATCAGAAACTAGGCCTTGACTCAGAAGCTGCGCGCATTGGCAACCGCGCATCGGCCATGATAATGTCCATCGTCCGATGCGTTCTGACGAGAGAGCATCCATGGCCCTACCATGATAAAGGCCTGGCCAATGTGTTCCGAAAAGAGAGCAGCCATGGCCCAACCATGATAACGTCCATGGTCGAATGCGTAGCATCCATGGTCGAAAGCGTTCTGAGCACACAGCATCCATGGCCCAACCATGATAACGTCCACGGTCGAATGCGTAGCATGCATGGTCGAAAGCGTTCTGAGCACACAGCATCCATGGCCCAACCATGATAAGGTCCATGGTCGAATGCGTAGCATCCATGGTCGAAAGCGTTCTGAGCACACAGCATCCATGGCCCAACCATGATAACGTCCATGGTCGAATGCGGAGCATCCATGGTCGAAAGCGGTCTGAGCACACAGCATCCATGGCCCAACCATGATAACGTCCATGGCCGAATGCGTAGCATGCATGGTCGAAAGCGTTCTGAGCACACCGCATCCATGGCCCAACCATGACAAGGTCCATGGTCGAATGCGTAGCATTCATGGTCGAAAGAGTTCTGAGCACACAGCATCCATGGCCCAACCATGTTAACGTCCATGGTCGAATGCGTGGCATCCATGGTCGAAAGCGTTCCGAGCACACAGCATCCATGGCACAACCGTGATAACGTCCATGGTCGAAGGCGTTCTCGGAGAGAACATCCACGGCCCACCCACGATGACGTGCATCTTCGAATGCGTTCTGTGAAGATGGCACCCATGGCCAAAGATGATGACGTCCATGCACGGATGCGTTCTGACGAGAGAGCATCCATGGCCCAAACCATGGTAATTACCATCCATGGTCAACCGGTGATAACCGGTAGAACAGCAGAAGGCCCGACTGCTGAGGGAGAATTGTATATGCCCGCGGGAGGTCAGCCCAAGGCCCTCGTCACTCTCAGCTTTCAGTGGATGCAGATCCTGCATAATAGGCAGGGGCCCCTTTGGGAAGACCCATCTCTCTTTCGACTCATCGTGCGAACTACTGTTGTGTCTCTTGTGTTTTGGTGTACCTGTGCAGCTGGTGCATGTCTCGATTTAAGGAGGGGACTTGGGTCAACGCTCTTTGCCCATGCTGCAATGGCGGCCGCACGCGCGAGATTAGTTTCAGCATGCTTTACAAGCATGCCAGCCACCGCAGACTAGGTGGGATGATTTGTCCCTCGGATGCATGCAGTGCCTGAGGCGAGAACTATCGAGAACTTAATCGTTCAACCCCTTGCATTACCTCTTACAATACTTCTTAGGCCCCCAATTTTTCTAGGCATGTGCAGTCCCCCTTCCTGGCGGTACATGTTCGGTCCGTTTGGTGTAGAAACACAGATCTCTCGAGAGGCAAATGTTGGCGGCAGAACAAGTGCGGAGAGACATGGTTTATCCCTGATGAGAAGCTTTTCCAGAACGGTATGGCAAGAAGAACAAAGCCAACCGTGGCAAGCAAAAAGCCAACAGAGTCGGTGCCCCATCTGGATTTAGCTGGTAACATGGAACTGCAGCCGTCGGATCGTGAATACCTGCTGCACGATCGAAAGATCCCGGAAGAAGTTGTGGATCGGAGCCGTGTCGGCAGTTTCAGAAAATTGTTTATGGTTGGCCTTAAAAAAATTGCCAGCTGTAGGCGTGGACGGGAGTTTGACGCTCTTTTTAAGACGTTGCGTGCAGTCTAGGAATGGAATTTACTCCAAGCCGCTCAGAGGGAAGGGCACAGCGCTGGTTTTTCCCTACCGCGTCGGTGACAAGATCGTTGCTGAGAAGTGCCGGAAACGTCCCAAAAGCTTCTTTCAGTCCAAAGGTGGATGTGCATGCATGGGGCTCAGTGCAGAGGGATTCTTCCGCGAAGTTGACGCTGTCGTAGGGTCGTACGCTCCTAAGGCCTGTACGGGGTGGACGATCTGCTCGGAGAGCCGGTCATAGTTATCACAGAGGCTTGGCCTTGGCCGCAGTTGGCCGCACTTCCAGCTCGTGATAGTGCTCGCCCAGTGTGTCACAGGGCGAGATCGACAAGCTCTCCGTGGAAGCAGCTGGATACAGGTCTGGGGCTCTGCTGCTCTGCTCCTTTGCGGCTGCCAGCATTTGCCAGCCCTGGCCAGGGGATGCGCTTCACTGCAGAATGGCTGCGCAGGCACATAGCCGAGTTTCTGGCATGTCCAAAGAGGTTGAACAGGGTCAATTGCGTTGCAGGCCACGGCCGCTTTCGTGTCCAGGTCTTGCATAGTCTAGTCGAGTAACTCTAGCAGTACCACTTCTGTAGCAGAACCCATGGGTCGTAGAAGGCAAGTTGGCGACAAGACATGAATGTCGCATGTGTTTACGACCTGAAAGTCACGTCTGCAGATGGTTTTGGGAAGGCCGTGCCCACGGTTTGCAAGTGCAGCCTCGGACGAAACGTTGCTTGTGTTCGGTTCTCGGGTCCTTCGGCTTCATGAATTGTCGTTGGTTTTGGATTCTATGGATGTTGGGCTGCACTGTTTTTTTGGCTCTTGGCTTCTTGGCCGAAAGGCAGCTGAAGAACGAGGAGAAAAGGATGCGGGACTTTCAAGAATGCATTTCTGACCCCCCTCGACCTGGGTCTGACAGAATCCATTTCTGAAATACATTTCGCCCCCCCCCCTCCGAAAATGTATTCTGACCCCCTTCCCTGGTTTTGCCATGCGCTGTTGCTGTCGTCGTGATGGGGTGATGGTTGTGGTCGTGGTCGTTGCCGTTGCTGTTGTTGGTTGTTGGTTTTTGGTTGTTGTTGGTGGTTCTTGGTGTTTTGTTTCTGGTTGTTGTTGGTGGTTGTCTGTGGTTGTTGTTGCTTGTTGCTGCTTGGTGGTTGATGTTGTTGGTTGTTGTTGGTTGCTGTCGGTAAGCCTCTCGGCTCAGGTGAGGTCTGGCCTAGTACAGTCCGCCTTGTCCTCACTCGCCATGGCATGTGTCATAGTTGTGGTTGTTGTTGTCGTTGTTGTTGTGGGCTTGATAGCTCACGCTCTACACTTTTTGGGATAACATTACCCACTATCAAACGAAAGTGTACACTTTCGGGGGCTTATGAACTCAGCAACTAAGGGAAGCCTGTAGTGCCAGCCTCTGTGCTGTTTCGGTACCGATTTCATGCTGCATGCCCTCTCGAGAAGAGCTGCCTCGAAAGCAGCAAGCAGACTTCTAACTCCAAAGCCTTTTGTCCAATGCCGTTTGGAGATCCTGCTGGCAGTGGCAGTTCGTTGTCCAGGAGGCATCTCCCGGAACTACGGGGCCGGCGAGGTCTCCCGGCAGCCGATTCACGGCCGTGGAGCCCAACACTTGCTTTGACACTGGGGATCTGAAGCAAGCTTGCTGCGCGAAAGCACTTTATCTTGAAATTGTGGGGTCCTGCAAAGAGGGTAGTGATGGTGAAGACTTCGCATTAGTGGACTCAGCAGACTCCAGCAATCCGCAGCTTGCACATACGCGTCCAGAGCAATATTTACACGATGTCATCCGCACTTGATGCTACACTTTGGAGCTTAGGGATGTGCCAGGGTGTTTGGCATGACCGGTAGCATAGGCATAGAACATTGCCAGGGCGATCGCATTGCAGCTTGCATTTGATGCTGCGGTTTGAACATATCTGAATTTTTGAGGATGGAATTTATTGCGTAGACTCGCATAGCCAGCTCATGATCGTTCTTCCTTGGAGGCCCTAGACAGCGCTGAGAAGATCATTCTGGCCCTCGATGGTGACAACGCTGGACAGGCCGGGCCCCGCCCGCCTCCCTCTCTCCCTGTTTGTGTTTATACTCATCCATCCGACGCGTGTGGATAGACATATCTGAACGCCGTCTATATGTGTGTACATTAGATAGTTGTGTGAAACCATGTACAGCTACAAAATACATATACACTGCACATACACTGCATGCCGCATCGGGCAAGCCACAGGACACGAGCGTGGCCAAGGACATTGCCTCATGTGATGTATATGGTTGGCTACAGCATTACTCTTACACAAGCCCTGCTTTGAGTTGTGGGATGACGATACCAAATTGCATGGGGTAACGCAGAGGCGCGCCAGAGTACTCTGGTTTGCATTAGCTATACTTGTGTGCCACCGGTCTCCAGTTTTGCCGGCCACGTACTGTACCTTGTGCAGGAGACATGTTGTTACCTTGCTACAGCTACAATAGCGCCATGCCGAAGAAAGGGGAATGCAGGCATGCATACATGTATTTTAATATGTATAGTATAGATATATATGTGTGTGTGTGTGTGTGCATGTACATATATGTATAATACATATATAGTTATCTGTATATTCATTTATTTGTTTATGCACTGATATGTACATACAGATACCTACTGCGCGTAGTATATGCACAGATATACTGCCCATCAATCGCCGGTAGGATGACGCCTACCATACTGTAGTGGGTAAATGGAGTCCCTGGAGGCAGCACTGCAGAAGTTGGCCAACGAACTCGGCAGACACAGGCGAGAATGCCAAGAAACTTTCCTTCATGTTCAGGCAAGCGCGCAGGTAGGGGGAGAGAAGGTTTGCATGCGAGAGGCCGGAAGTTTCGAGTTTAGGCGTCGGTTGCCCAGTTGACTGTCTGCACATCGCCAAGAGGCATTGCATACCTAAACATTGCTTTGCATCATGCACGTTGCTGATCAGATCAAGAACATGGGAGATGTGCATACAAACAAGTTCATGCAATACAGCTTCTCTTCCTGCTGTCAGATGTTACAGCGTGAACTGGCCCGACGGTTGCAAGGCGCGCCCGCTGTGGACATTGAGGGAGTATTCTTGCTTCCTGCAGAACTGGAAGTGGTTTCGGAGGCTTAGTTGTCAATTGAATCACACTAAGAAGAGCCCCGGGGACGTCACAGCCTTCAGGCTACAGGTTTCGCGAGAAACTCTAAGCCCACAAGGCATGCGTGACATGGTTGCTCTGAAAGGATGCCAACGATGTCCTTTGCAAGCACGGTGCTAACAAGCTCAGGATGCTAAGCAGCAGTATAGCCCTCCTTGAAGCTTGGGTGGTTCAGAGGCTTTTTGGGCTGGAGCATGGACGAGACTGTCTGTGGGACCTGGGTTGGCGAAACGATAGGCACTTAGCAATGCTGTACCTCTCGAAGAAGGCGACCAGGTCTAGTAGAGTTCTTGACAAGAGGCCCGGCCCTTTAGCCTGCAGCCCAGGATACTCTTGGATGAAGCAGAGCGGCTTCCACCTCCGTGCCTGAAGCACAGCTTTCAGGACACGGTTTTGAGGACCCAGGACTTCGGACTTCGTGGTGGGAACACTCCTTCAGGATTCTCCACGGAGACTCGAAGATCGCAAGTTTGCAGATGTGCATGCGTTTCGGCTTCATTTATGCAGATGCATGTTGGTCCTCTCGTACGAGGACGAGGAGATCCTTCAATACATCAACGATGTCGTCACAGGCGCTTTCCCCTGAGACTCGAGAGCCTTTGCCGCACGGCACCTCCGAAGCGTGGTGGTTAGCACAATTGAGAGCTCCATGGTGCTTCCTTGCCAGGTGCCGTCGACCCGACACACCGGTCGGGTATTTCCACAGGCCGGCCCGCGAAGGATTCCTCCTCTGCAGATCGGCCTTGGTTTTGAAGACAGGGCTGTGAGCAGGGGCTGTGTCGTTGTTGGTTCTGTTTTGATCTCTGTCAGTCTCTGTCACAGAGGGAATGTGACATCACGGTGAGAAGGCTGCTAGCCTTCAAGTTTCGTTTACGATTTGTTGAGATGTTGGGTTTGTCCGTGTCTTGAATATGACATGGCCGAGGCGGAGGCCCGAAAGGCACACAGATGCCTAGAAACCAAGCCAAGCAAAAAAGCTCCAAGGCCAATCAGGACGTAGGGTTGCGGGCTTTGTAAATCTCTTGGGGGAAGGTCTGTGTCCGAACGTGCAGACAAGCCGCTTCTGGGCACAAACTTGTGCTTTAAAATGATGCCTGCAGCTATAAGAGGGAAGCTAGTGGGGGAAGAGCAGAGTGCAAAACGTTCCATGGTGTCCAGATGTCCAGGTCGACGTTGTCTCGAGTACAGTGTGCAATTTGCAACATCTTCTCGTTATCTGACGCGGGCTTTCAACTGCCAATTGTCGCAGGCTGGTCTGGACTGGATGGCTTCTACAGAGTGGTGCCTGGAGAGGTCACGGTCATCACGGGCATCCCCGGAAGTGGGAAGACAGAGTGGCTTTTGTCGATGGCCGCCACTTGCCAAGAAAAGATTTATGCCTGAAGTTTCCGGCCGGTACTTGAACAACAAGTTCGCTTGATGCCGCTGTGACACTCTAATGGCGAAGGGCCAGTTCACAAGCTGCGGTGTCGAGGAAATGTCGGAAGATGTAGGAAGCCACGGACTTGCGAAACGTCATCGTATGCAGTCATGTAGAAGGGTCCATGATCATCATCAGCATGATAACGATCGCTGCCGCGGCTGCTGTTGTTTGGTGGCCGTCGTTGCAGTCGTTTTAGTTGTTCCCAGGAAGCCCCGTCGATGCCGCGAGTGGTAACCTAGTGACATCCAGTGCGTCACTATCTTCCAGACCATGACTCCTGACTCCTTGGGCGAGGCTAACATCGCCCATCGGGAGGACTGGCGCATCTGGGCTTGAGCTCGGCTTGGCGAGTTCGACCGAATTTTGGGCCCGTGCCCGTGTTGTGATTTCCGACGTTTGGCAGAAGACACTGATTTCGAAGCCATGTAGTTGCAACCTTCGTAATGACCCGGACCTTCGTGCACCAGCTTATCAACTGCGAGGCATTCTGCTGTTCACTTTCGAAGCGAACACCGACACCTTGGCTGCGACTCGCCGGTGCAAGACGTTGGGCAGCGCTTGTTGAGAAGGCATTAGGTCATTCGGGCCGTTACCGGATTAGCAGGTAAGTGCAACACGACGTGACAGTGCCTACAATGTGAGACGCGTGGCCGTCATTATCCAATTTGGTGAAGTCGTGGGACTGGGCTGAGGGAGGATGTGCCAGATGTGTGAGGCTTAAGCTGAAGTAAACCTAGCAAAAGCGAAATCTTACAGCGCCTGCAAGGTTCAGATGTCGCAGAAGCTGAAATACATGATCCCGGAGCTGTCCCAACAACAGGACTTGCACTCTGTAGTACCGGAGACCGAAAAGCAGAAACAGATATCGGTAGAGAATGCAGAATCCACAAGACTTGAGCCCCCGCACCGGGCACATGAAGCATCGCGCAATTGTGTGATCATGATGCTAGCTTTCTGGCTCAGAAAAGTTTGCCGTTTTCCACTGCAGTAAAGGCAATCGAAGTTTGATGCCAGAGGGGCTCGTGGACACTTGTCTTCGTGACGGTTTACCTAGTAGTCTGTGCTGTACGTGAGTTTATTCTCAGCACAGATCTGAGAATGAAAGGAGACACAGCCCGGCTGCATGCAAGAGGCTGGGTCCTGCGAGTAGCTGCTGAGCGGAGAATTTCGTTCTCACCATGACGTGTCTAGTCGAGATACTCTGAAGCCTAGCAGGACATGACTGCGTACATGAACTGGATGGACGACCACTTTGAATTTGGCGTGGACAGCTTCGAGAACCTGAGCGTGGACACTGCTTGAGTGTTGAGCATGCTGATGCAGAAAGTGTCGAACATGCTGCGAGAGCATGGTTCAGGCAGAGGCGCGCCCAGACACAAACGCAGACACGGACACACAGAGACACCCAGACAGCCAGCCAGCCAACCAGACAGACAGTCAGACCAGACCAACCTCCCTCCTCTCGCATTTTCGATATGCGCGCATGCATGGAGTTCAGTGCGTGAGTTGGTAGTCGGAAGGATCAAATTGTGCAGAAGATCGATGAAGTCATTGCAGATGGGGGGCTGCAAGGGGTCATTATTGACCCGTCACTCGGAAAGAATCGTGATGAATCCCGCTCAACAGTAGCATGACTGGGCCGGCAAAGTCCGGTGCTCCCCTGCGGCGAAATGTCGAAGGTACAACTTCATCGAGCGGCCGTCCGGAAAGAATGACAACGAACACCACTTCGTCGGAGCTCTGATGCAGAGGCCGGCTTTGTTGCTCCTGGCTTCTTAACTTCTGGTGTCTGTGGCCGTTTCTGTGGCAATGATCCAGACCCACAGGTTGCGAAAGGTGGCTAACGACAAGATGATCCACGTCTGGATCGTGGCGCACCCCACGAAATCTGCACAATGGAACAATGTGAGGCCGAACATGTACAACATTGCCGGCAGCTCCAACTGGCACTTCGGCATTTCTAGATTCTGGACAGACGGCAGGTGCCAGACCAAAGCAGCTGGAGACGACACACCATCAGCCGTGAGCCCTCGCTTCGCACGCCGGAGCATGTGAGCAACAAACTTAGGTTCAACAAGACCGACATGGGCATTATCGTGGACAGGAGAAGCTTTGAGCCTAGGAGGATGAAGGAGGGGGATAGACGGGGGGTTGCTTGCGTGCCCGGGGCACGGGAGTGCTAGTGAAGTCGAGGCGGGGCTGTGAGGTGTTCCGGGATGACGGTCCATGCAGCAAGAGTTCCGGCATGATACAGTAGTCAGTCTGCCCCTACACTTTACATACGCCCCTGGCAAAACCAGCAGGCAAGCAAGGCAGAGCGAGCAGTGCTAAAGGCTTCGGGGACGGGCCTGGTGGGGTTGCGTTGGGCATCACGTTCAGGCGAGGAGCGTCGGGGGTAGCGGCTTGGGTTGGGCTTGGCTAGCTCTTGTACATGCAAGTTAAGTTCAGCATTGCACGTGTTGTGAGATCACCCAACCTGTTCCTTCGCGGGTGCTGGGCCACTTTTTCGACCGCAATTTAGATTTAGATTCGCTTCCCAAGAGCACGAAAGATGAAGCCCCCACCCTGCTCTTTTGTCCTGGCCTCGACCTAGAGCTTAGCCAAGCCGAACTGAATGGATAAGGAGACGGACGATGGTGAAAGCGTCCGGTCGGACCAGGTCGAGATCATAGTTGAAAAGGTTCCGTGGCGAAATCAGATCATGACGTATGACTACGCAATCTCGCCCCATAGCGCAGGTACGCAATCGAGAGGCGGGAAAACTGGGAAAAGCGCTGCTGCTTTTTGACAGGGAGAGCCTCGGCCAGGATTATCACGGCAGTTGACCCTAGTGTAAACAAGACTTTCTTCACGTGCCTGTAGAAGTTACATTACTCCATATATTGCTCCTCCCGAATCCTTGAGAAACTGGGGCCCCCTGCATAGACGAGCACTCAAGATCAAGTCTGGCAACAGACTCTTAACGGCAGTGTGCCATGCTTCCACCATGTTGCATGTATGAATCTCTTCAGAGCCCCTGTCTTTTTGCACGAGGAGCCGAAGCTACCAGGATGCCACCCACCTCCTGCCGCCCTTTGGCTCTCAGGCTCGGAAGGCGCTGACAGGCCGAAGCATGTTTCCCGCTGAACCGGTTTCGGTCCAGTCTTTCTCTTTCTTGCTTTTTTGGGAAGTCTGGTCGTCAGCCACATCCGCTGCGGAAGTCACAGTGAGAAGTGGTGTGCACATCCCAGGAAGGATGAGGATGAGTTTGACAAAGCTCGACCAAGGGCACCCAAGGCCGGGTCCAATCCTCCGCTTGGGACCGCAACGAAGCGTCTCGAAGTCTTCGGGTGAGCTGTGCAACACGTGTGCCTCTGAGACACGCTGTCCGAGAGTTTCTCACCCAAAGGCATCACGACCTAGAGTGCCAAGTCGTAGTGCCTCGGGAAGCCGAGCACAGGTACCTGTCAGCGCAGCCCGAAGAGCAGCCAGGCATGCTTTTTGCAGCACATCCAACATTCCATGCCTTTGTCGAATAGGCCCGAAAAGGCTTTGTATTCTGAGCATCCGTTCGGATGGATAACAAGACTATATAAGAGATTCGCACGAACCGGCACTGACCGTTCATGGAGTGATTCTCGAACAGAGGGCTTTGCAAGTGCATCCGGGCGATAACGGCCGTAGTAACCTTCCACGAAAATTCAACAGCACAGTCTTTTCTGCAGGACTGTTGCCGCAAGACAAACCAGCCCATGTTGGTCTGGTGTGATTTAGCTTTTTTTGTTCACGGTTCGGGTGCCGGAACTTGACGGGACTAAGGCACCCGTAGACTTCGATGATGGCGAAGAACTCGATGACATCGAAGCTGAATTGGAATGAGCTTTAAAGTAGTACAAAGCTAATGCAGGCGTGCGTGCCTCGGTCCCACGAGACTCTGGGCTTAGACCTATTTGCACAGTTTCCCTCGAAGTCGAAGCAAGAGCCTTGACTTTGTCAAATTGTTTTAGTCGTAGAAGGCTTAAAGCATGGGATTTGCACACGACGGACCGTGCGCTCTGTAAGCTTCCTTGCAAACACCCACGCCCCAACCAACTTTTCGTAGAGAGCGGGGAGTGTCCGCAGTGTGCGAGAGTAGCAGCGTAGCAGAGCTTCTTAAGAAGACTGTTGCTGTTGGCTTTGACGAAGGAGAGCGGGGCTCCGTCCGAAGCAAAAGAAGTCCGAGCTATCGCTCGCGTGGCGCTTCGCGTGTGTCCCCGTGAGAGAGCCTGGAGCCGCCGAGGCCGCCGTCCTCTCCCCTCTGAGCATCGTGGAATGTGCCGTGGCAATCGCCATGCAACATCGCAACCGCTGTATCCCCGCGAAGATGCTGTAACCAGGTGTAATCATTGTAGCCAAAATAGGGAGCCCAGATTGAAGACGTGTTGCAAAAAAAGAGAAAGCCTCATTCACCTTCGCGGTGTGGGTTGCGCAGGGTCTCTTGGCTCATGGCTGTACAGGGCCATTGCAGCCAATTCGTCGTCGGTGGCTCTACCTAGCTACGCACCCCCAACATAAACTTGCCAGCATGCAGCAGCACGAAAGTCAAAATGTCGCTCTGGGCGTCCGGTGCCCATTGCACGATCGAAATGCTCAGGTAGGCTTTCAGGAAGTAGACATGGTTCCTGAGAGAGTAACTGGGTTCTTTGATGACGGGATTTACGATTGTGGTCCGTGGTTGTTGAGAATTGAGTGACTCGTGATTTGGGTGTTTAGCGGGTTTGTGTTGTGATAGTGTTGTGATTCTGAGACCCAGAACTCCGCCATGACTTCGTTCAACTTCGTTCTCGCTGCAGATTCTCTCTGATCTTGGTGTGAGCCCAAAAGTTTTCAGTGTTTTGCGAAGTATTTTCAATGCTCATGTCTATCCAACTCCTGAGTTTTGCAGGCGGGAGGGTCGGTTTCGGAAGAAGCCTCCTCTGCACCTTTGTCAGCTTCTGTCAAAGCTCTCCGTCGTCCCTTCAGATCCTTTCTTGAACCTTTCCTTAGTTTGTTTCATAAGTCACAACTTTGTGCCAGTTCCGGCCAACATCGACCAACCGGATCCGCTGGGAGCAGGTAACTTCGTAAGTGGGTTTTGAACAACTAAGACTTCATGAGCCGACGCGCGCGCCTCCGTTTTTGTATGCAGGGCTTTAGCTGCGTCTCACCTTGGCCCTGCCCGCTGAATTCGGATGTAGCTTTTTCATTCTTCCCATTGAAAGAGAGGCGCATTCTCTATCTAAGCAAGGTAATTAGGTGCTGGACATACAGCGGGCAAGAGTGAAGGTGCTGATGTTATGGAGTCATGATAGTGCTGCACAGGGGCAAGGCGGATGTGCAGAATCCACGGTACAACTCAGCCTTGTGAGCAGAGGGTTTCGGAGTTTCCGCATAGATAAACATGAGAAGCTTTCCTAACAGAGTCGGGGCCCAAGTCGGTGACAGCTCTCTGTCGCACAGGCAAGCTGGACAGGTCCGCGTCGGCAGACGGTAACGTGGTGTTCAAGTCCGTCTCGAACCTTCTTTATGCTCGTCGCAACTAGCTCACAGATTGCTTTCGCAGCGCAAATGCCCGCACGTGTGTCTAGCCCGGAGCCCAAGGCCATGGAAGTCGCCACAGTCGTGAACGAGGCAGACTCAGGCAGGTTGTGCTGATTCGTCGTGAGTTCGAGGCCGTTGGGAGTGCCCGGTGTGCCCTTTTGTTCCCGTCTGCAGGCTGCCACCGACGGCAAAAGCTTCGCCCAAAGCATCTCTGACGGGTCGATGGAAGTTCGGTGCTGAGCGTGCCTTTGGGTTGAAGATGCCATACACATACACACCCTTCACGGGAAATCTTGGTGGCCCAACGTGGAAGGCAGCAAACTGTAACTATGCCCCCCGCCCAGAGGCCCAATAGGGTGCAGCTATTACTCACGGTGCTGACACCGTAACGTCTAAACTTCCAGGGAGCCGCTTAGCTATACATATATAATATATATATATATATATATATATATATATATATGCCGGGAGGAGCCAGTGAAGCTCCCGAGCCAAATGCAGAAGGTAAATGGGCTTCTTCCCTCAGCTTTCTAGGACTTCGAGGAACTCCGGCACTTGGGGCGAGGAGCCTTCGGCGAGGTTTTGTGCCAGCCTCAGGCACAGGACTCATGGATGAGTCTTTCCTGTAGGTTCCGCCGACTTCAGATTTTGGGAGTGCAGGGCTTCGTGAGTGGCTGCTGGCAAAGTTCATGGAGCTGCTTGCTGGGTCTGGTCACATGTCGCCTTGACGTCACATATTACACAAGTAACAGGCAGCAGCTACACATCTCTTCGTTTGTTTTTCCAGACATGCCAGCACGGACAGAATTTTCGAAGTGAGCTTCCTGCTAGACTGTTAGATGGCACCGGGCAGGAAGCCTGCCAGCACTGGGGGGGGAAAGCTCGTCTTCCTCAGAGGGCTTGAATATTTAACAGCGGAGTCCCAAAGCCCCAGAACAGAACCAGCGCATTTCCTAAGTGTCTAGGTGGACGCGGGTCTAGAGGACTCTTCAGATGTAGCGCACTTTGGCGCATCCTGCGATTCAGAGGCTCATGCGGCAGACTTCGACGGGCCTGCTGTGTGCAGCATGTATCTCAGATGAAGCTTGCAGCTTGCGCGCCGCCCGCATACGGATGCGCAAGACGAGAGATGCCCCCAAAGCGAGAAGCGGGCGGAGAGAGAGGGGTAGCCATGTTGGTCTCATCGGGTGGTGGGGGCCGGCTTACCGGGGGTTTGGTGCATGGCTTTGGATCATCCTGTCGGGGATGTTTTCCTCGTTTGCTTACTTGCAGAGCAGCCTGCGAGGCATGGAGGAAGCAGGGTCGGGTCTGAACGGTAGACTTAGAGAGGCGTGACCCCAGGAAGAGAAGCAGAGGCCGGCTTTAGAAGGCCGGCTCTTCCCTCGAAGTTCTGGAGGCGTAAGGAGTCGGCACTGCGTTCGTGTAAGCGAGGTCAAGAAGCTTGGTAAAACTGCGCTGCCGGTGCCCTGCTAAGTTGCAAAGTTTGTGGGTGTTTCATGGGTGGATCAGCTCGGGATTGTGGTCAGCTTTTGCTCGTTCAAACGAGTTTGTGCCGGCAGCTTACATTGTGTCGAAGTCTTTGTCAGCTCAAGCAAGGCTGGTGAGGAAGCCGAGCACTTGGCAGAGGTTGGAACCATGAAAGCAAATCAAGGAAGTACGTCTTGTGCTTCACTTGCGATTCGCAGGTGAAGGTCTTACAGACACTTGAGCATCCGCCAAGCGCCGAGAATCTGGCCTACTGGTCACTTCCGGTGCCTTCCAAAAATCGATGCGTATGGTCCCTCTCACCTTGGCACTCCACTTGATTCGTCGTCGTTCTTCGATGTGTTTTTCTGCAATTGCTGGAGCAAAGGTGCATTCTTCGGTACTACGGCTCGGTTCAGCTTGACGAGTCTCTGAGCTTGGCAGCCCCGGCAGCGATTATCAGCTCCCCGTCATGTAAGCTTGCAAGCTTCAGGACAGACGGGTATCGCCGAAGCGTTTGGCTGGAGCGATGCATGGTGCATGCCGTACTGCGACGTTCAGTTTCAGATGGACATAGTCGGTGGACGTTTTGTCTATCGGTGTGCCTTGCATCGTTGTAGTATCCGTCATCATGGCAGGTGATGGAATTCGCAGATTCTGGCGACCTGCAGCAACTTTTGAAGAAGTCGCCTGCCTGCTCAATCGGTTGTAGGGAAATGCTGTGTCAGCGCTCGCCCAGAAGGAAGAAGGTTCTGAAACTGTCAGCTGATACACTCGAAAACAGCGGCGAATTCTGCATAGCAGTGCTTCACTTGATGCTGCTTACCACTTCTTTCGCGAGATTTCGATCGAACACTGGAGCCTGCCCGAGGCAAATGGATTCGGAGAAGTTGTTCGAGGCAGCTTCGGAGTGTTGGAGGAAATTCAATCTGCATTTCGCCCGGAGGTGACATGCAATTCAGCTGACAGAGATCTTGCAGGTGTGTCATGTAGTCTCAGTCATCGGTTCTCAGGCCGCCGACGAAGCTAGATGCCCAGACTGAAGCTGAAAAAGGTTTTGTTGAGGGGACCGGCCCAGCACATTACCGACAAGGGAAGCACACAGGATAGCGGTCGTGGGCGGTAGGCACCCCCAACGGCCCCAACGGCTGAGAAAGTTGGCCTTCTGCCAGGCTGCAGCGCTGTTTGCAATCTTCTCGCAACTGGTTGTCGCCAGGAGCTGAAATGTGGAGCTGTCAGTAACAAACTGCCAGCAAACGGATATCTGAATGTCTTGCGAGGTCGGTGATCAAAAAACTGCAGAACTCGGGGACGTGTGTTTGGGTTCGGGAGAGAACTGGATTTCGTAGCATTCCTGGTTGCATTTTTTCGTAGGATCAGTGGAAATAGGAAAATATCGGCTATTTTCGCCGCTCTTCGAGTGCGTCGCCTGCCGGCCTGGGCATCACTTGCATCTGTTTGCAGAGTTGCCTGCAGCGAGTGCATGAGTGCCACAAATCTCATCCGCGCATCGCCCTACACAGCCGAAATACATTTGGATCTTACACCGGTGCCCGTTCCAGTCGGCGAAAATGCGTCTGCCGTGAGTTTACTCTGGCTATCTCTGGCTTCCCACCTGCTCTCAATTTTAATTAACGCTGTCCCGTCAACGCAGCACTGTTGCGATTTGCAAGCTGCATGCTGTCACTCTTCGCTGAGGCAGTGGCGCACGCACTCAGGCAGCAAAGAGGTAGGGAATTTGTGTAGGCAGGCGGTGGCAGGCGTGCCTACTGTAGATTGTGCCACAATCCAGCGCAGGTCCCGGCTTTTGCCATCAGGGTGGGCATAAAGGTCGCCCATTCGCGCTATCTCGTTCCTGCGATTGCCAGCCCCAGGTTCACGCACGCCGAGTGCTTCACAGAGACCTGAAACCATCCAACGTCATGTTGACCAGGCCAAGGACCACGTTTGCTTCAACTGCATGGGTTGCACACTGGACCGTTTTTCTTCGGTTCACCTTTCAACTCTTTTTAAACCGACAAGTGGCAGAAGCCCGGTAACACCAAGCAAACGCAGAGGTTCTTTTGAAAAGCTGAGTATGATGTCAGCAGTACACCGATTCAGTAGCTTGTAGTTCTTCAAGCCGCGAGCTTCTTGCCAGTTCCGGCCTCTTGAAGCTCGGTGACTTCGGGGTGGCCAAGGCTGTTCTCTGATGGCCGGTCCGTTGGTCCGTCGGTTCAGAGAGCTGCGAGCTTGGGAAGTGCAGGTCATGGCTGGCACCACCGTGGTCGATAATATGACCTGTGTCGGCTCGCCCACGTACATGGCCGGAAGCTCATGTCCAGGCATGACCTTGCATGGCACATGCGAGAGACTTGCAACATGTCTGAGGCTCCCGAGATTGTCGCCGGCGAGGTGCGTAGGCTGCATTGGCAAGGGCAACAGTAGTGGGTAAGTGCACCCCGTGAATTCATGGATGCTGAGTACTGTCAAGCTTGAAACGCACTCAGCTGAGGCGTATGGAGCTCCTTGCGACGTGCGCATTCTTAGCTCAACGAACCACTGAGCCATTCATCGCCGACCATGATACACATGCTCCCAGCACTTGTTGAGGCTTTGGTCGCTGTCAGGCCTTGTGAGAAAGTATTTACCGTGTGCTGCTCAAGGTCTGGAGCCTGGGCGTCATTCTGTACGAGTTCAGTCCTCATCATGTGAAAGTTGAGTGATGCAGCAGCTCGCAGCCTATGAAAGCTGGCATTTCCAAGACTGTGCCATTTGTAGGAGGGGATTCCGCACGCTTCCAGTGATGGAATGCATTCGGGAGCTAGACTTTGAGCAAGAAAGAGCAAGCGAGCGAACGAGTGAGCGGAGAGACAGGGAGACCGAGAGCGAGAGCCCCGGAAGTGGCAGAACCGACGTTGGATCGTGCCTTGACGGGGTAGGCCTCCGGGCTAAGGGGTTGTCCCCAACCCCTACACACCCGACGGAGAAATCGGCCGTTTTTTGAGTTCACAAACCTTCCCATACAATATGGGGGCGCATGGGGGCGCCTTGAGCGCGGGGCCAGAGGTGCACCCTTGCCTTCTACCCTTCTGAAAGAAAAGAGACCTTGGTTAGTTACTCCAAGGTGTGGACCTAGCAAGCAAGCAGACTTGGCTATTCAGGTTTGACGATCCTGAGGAACGACTCTAGACACGATTGACGGATGGCTGCAAGCGCACGCAGGAAAGCATAATTTTGGTGGTTCGTGCTCGGGAGGTGCCGGGCAGCTCTTTGGTGCTTACGGGTTTGGTGACGCAGCATAGTTGTGTTTGGCACGTTTTTTTTGGCAGACCCTTGCCACGCCGTGCCCAGAGCTGCTTTAAAGCAACGGTGAGACAAAGAAAGCCTGTCAACTTCAACAACGGATTGACATTCCATGGTTGTCCTCTGAGGCTGGCCAGCTTCAAGCGACCCTTCGAGGGAAGAAGCGTCTGCCTCATCGAGCGGTGTCGATTGAGGGTTTGCCGGAGTCAGAAGAGGAAGCCAAGCACCTCGTGCTGGATATAGGGAAGTGAGCGCAACGGTAGCACAGAATGGGAGCTCGCAGTGTTCACATGATTGACGCAGGTCGGGTGCGAAGGCAGTGTGACACGTGTTTCCAGAAAGCTTGTCGAATAGCCGATTCACTGAAATGTTGCTAAAGCCAGCTGTTGGCATGGGCACATATGCGAAGCTGTTGCCTGTCCATGCTTGGTGCCTGAAGTGGTCAAGGTCTTGGCGAGCTGATCATGAGGATCTCTTCTGGGAAGCTGGCACTCTCAGAACTTCTTGTATTGCACTCATAGGCAAGTATACTGGTCGGGGCTGGACCGTGCAGCATACGAAGAGACCCGCCCCACACGTTCTTGCACATGCGCACAATCGTAAGCGCGCACACGAAAACAGAAAAAGCGGCCAGAAGCAAGCTTGCTTGCCAAGCCAAGCCAGGGCAGCTAGGAGTTGCGACCTCAGTCAAGAAATAAAATCAGGAACCCAAAGTTCAAAGTTCATTTGCTTTCCAAGCTGTTTCTCTCGATTGGACAAAGATGTTAATTATGAGTTAGGGTGGTCGCGGCAGCATCATGTCAAAAGCAATCACAACTTCCTGTACTAATTATTGCTTTTCCCAGTTGGCAGTCGCTCTAGCAGCTAACGAAGATCTCCATCGTTGGACCACTGATGGGTTGATTGTGCATTCTTCGTCCGCGTGTTTCTCTCTCCCGGTCGAAGCCAGCCCCTGAAGCTTAATCAGGTTCGAGTCCGTTGGAACTCACCTCGCCGACAAGCCTGGTCCCCAGGCGTGTAGAACGTGGCTTCGTTGTGGAAACTCGGGGCCTTCGAAGTGGCTGAGCGAACGGTCTCACCTCTCTCTCTTGTCTTGGCTTCAGCTCTGCAAACGACGAGAACCCGAACTCCAGGCCCAGGCTGCACTTGCCGCCGTTTGCCGCTTTGTCGCCATGGCTTTGGGGCCCATCACCACGCACGCGCTCAACACGGCCACTGGCCGGCCAGCGGAGAACCTTCAGGTCACTTTGAAGCAGGCGGTCCGAGGGCCGAGAGACAGTTTCAGTCTTCACCTACTGGGCAGGTGTTAGTTACAGTCTGCTACAGCTTTCACTGCTTTCACACTCTGGGAAAAGGATGCTTGTGCCGTCTTGCAGGCTCAGAGTCCGGATGAAGACGGCCAGATCGATTGGAAGCTTCTCAAGGAGTTTTGCCACATATTGTCGCAGCCATGTCGGTCCAGCCTTTTGCCACAGGTGGCTCGCACCAACTCGGACGGCCGTGCAGCCAACCTGGGAGAAGGGCTGCAGCTGTCGCCGGGCGAGGCGCTCTCTAGAAAGACTTCGGACGCCTGGCCATGCGACCTTGGCCAGGTCTTCGAGCTGTCCTTTGCCACCTCGGAATATTTCAAGGAACAAGGCGGGCTCGCGTGTTCGCTTCTGATGGAGGAAAGAGGTCATATGCTACCCTCAACTTACAGTTTCGAGTGTATACTTGTGCAGTCCAAAAAAGCAACTCAATGCAGGTTCGAACTGGGAAAATTGTGGCGATTTCGGGATGTGTTTGAACGTGGGCCATGCCGACGGTATGCGTTGCCGACAGGCACGCCGTGCTTCTACCCTGTTGTGAGGATCGCTTTCGAGATCCAGGAAGCAGAGAGCCATTATCATGTTCCCTTGCTGATCTCGCCGTTTGGCTACTCAACATACCGAGGGTCATGACTTCGTAGCGTCCCTGGCGAGCATTCTGCCAAAGACTTGCAGATCGCTAGGCGATTGGGAGCCTCTGTTTATCGTAGCCAGCAGCTGGCTTTGCGCGCTCGAGCCAAGGAAAACAACAGTTTGTGCATACGATGCACAAGACACAAGTATACGCCGCCCCTGTGCTCGCACTGCTGCACTCATTGCCAGAGCTGCAGGAGCATAGTAATACTGAGTGCTCCAAAGTTGTGGGCAACGATGCCGCTCTGAACTCGGAGATTTGTTGGGCTTTTGAAGAGAGGGCTTTGACTCCAGAGGCCCGGCGGTCATGTACTTGAAGATGCCGTGGCGCCGGTGCTGGACTGTGCCCAAGTGCATCAATTCTCGCACGCTTGCAGTGATGATGCACTTCAGATGAGGCGAAGATGTTGGTCGTGGACCCGAAAGGTCGCGGTCGAATTACAGAGGTACTCCGGGTGACTACCATTCATTTGCTGTGCTGTTGAAGTCTTCCTGTGGCCCTTTGCTCTGAAGCGTGTCTCCCGTGCGGCAGGTCGTGCGCTCAGCTTCGGTGCAAACCTTCGTCGCCTCTCTGAAGACAAGCCGAGATCCAAGCTTGGAGCCGCCTGCGGCTTTTGCTTATTCTGCTTTCGTGTCATCTCAGGTGTGCCTTGCCCTTTGCCTTGTGTGTTTGGCGCTTGACGTCTTCGGCAGATTTCTCTGAGGTGCTGTCATTGTTGCTTCCATTATACAGGAGCTCGAGGCCTACTGATAAGCATTGGCCGGGAAGTAGTTAGCGCAAACCAGCTGACTACCGAGACTGCATTCTCTCTCTCTCTCTCTCTCTCTCTCTCTCTCTCTCTCTCTCTCTGCATGCAAGAGAGTAAAACACACTGCTAAATTCATGAGCAAAGTTACTGTGCGCTTGGCTTAGCAAGCAACGTTTGCAGATGGTGCTTGATAGCCAGGACCCTCAGAAGCCCAAGGGCATCGATGTCAACACTGCCGAGCCCTCAACCCGCCAGACTGCATGCTTGTCGAGGTGATGAACCAAACATGCTGCCAGCATCGTTCTAGCGGGAGCTCAGAGCCTGTGCTTGCACATCTGAGGCCGCGGTGGATGAGCTCATTGCCGAGTTCGGACCTCACCTTTCTACTACCAGCGGCATTTGCGGAGCTGGCTGCAATGGACAAGCTGCATGCTCGAAACGAGGCTTGCTGCCAAATCGCCTAAGCGCGCAGAAGCAGCAGAAAACCTGCCCAAAGGAGCTGGCCAGGCGCTGGGCTGCGCAAAGAATTATCCCTACAGCAGTTGCATGGTCAGAGCTGCTGACGGCAGGTCCGCAGTAGTTTGGCTGCCAAAGTGGACAAGCAGGTGGACGGATCCTTAGCCTGCAAGGGGAAATGCAGCAAGCATCTTGCCACTGTTGCCACAGACGTGGTGACGGGTACTGTGGGTGCCGGCAGGCAGTCAGTGTGGTTCACATGGTCATGTGAAGCTTCAAAACAGATCTCCGGCCCAGGTGGAGGACGACTCCTTGGCTTTAAGTCTAACATCGTCGGACTTGGGGACGGCCGTGCACGACCCCCAAGTTACTCGAAACTATTCAGATCCATTGTTCGGCTTGGCATCATGCACAAAGGCTCGCAGCCAAACATCATGGCCAGAATGGCAAGGAGCCGAGTCCCTCATCGTTTGGGCCCCCGGCCCGGCTGTCCGCAACCAGCGCCTGAGTCGATCCTGTTGAGGCTCAGGCGAAGTTAGCTTCAATCTGACGGTCCGGGGCTTAATCTTGGACCACTGGCTACGAATCGGGGCACGCTGTAGACACCCAAGACGGCAGACAGCTAGACAGCTAGAAGCTACAAGTACAGCGAAAGCCGTCAGCTCAGCACCAGTGGAGCGTTCAGCTGAAACTCCAAGCAGCGGCGGAAGTCGCCAGCACACTCCCAGCCCTTGGGTCAGGAGCCCATCAGATCGCGAGAAAAATGTGTGCAAGGGATTGACTCTTGGAAGTGGGTCAGCGGCTGCCGAACCTGTTCTTCAATGCTGCGTGATGTTACCATACCACCGGCACTTCAGGCCACCGATGCGCTGCAAGTGTCCAAGAAGGTCCCCGTGCCTGTTCTGAACGAGGACACGCATGAGGCACCGCATGGAGGAGTGCAAACGGGCAAAGCCCCGCAAACTCGCAATGGTTGTTGTCGGGCGATCCAGGCTTCAGAGAGCGGGTCGATGGAGTGAAGGCGCGTTGATGTCGTCCCAGGCGGTCAAAGCTGTCTCGCAGAAGTTCGGGCAGCGATCCGGAGGCCCAGGTGTTTTAGCCAAGCCGAAGATCTGCAGCGTGGTTTTGCCCAATGGAATTCAGCCAGGTCTTGCGTCGTTCTGCAAGTTGGACAGTTCGGCGGGTTGCTTCTGCAGGCCTTGGTGTCTCTCACGATAACCACGCGCTGCGAGACGTGCCAGCCACAAGCGCTGCAAGCGCTGTCGATCTGCGAGGGTTTATCTGGAGCATTGGCGAGGTGTCAAGGAATTCCACAATCTAACGTATGTCATGTCATACGTTTGATTTTCCATAGCCGAGGTTCACCGAGGCTTTGGATCCGCGAAGCGGACATGACATGTCAGTCCTCCCCGCCTTAGGTGCTTGGCGATGCGCTGGAACTGGGAGGCCACCCCCCGATGGTTTCCGAGAACAAACGTGTCACCAGGAGGATCTAGGAACAACAGGACTGCCGTAGCCAACGTAGTTGGAGCGCTTGGTTCGCCATGCAAGGGACCAGCCGAACGGAACAAGGCACGGCAAAGCGGGAAGCCTGGACTGCCAGGGAGTGGAGAGAACGCAAAGAAGGGTGGAAGGGTGCGGACAATCAAATGGAAAACAACCCTTGAGAGAGATTCTTGAAGCGATTGACGGACGATCCCGAAAGATCCCGACAGTTCGTTACAGATGTGCGGAGCGAGGTCAGAGGCTCTGGCTCGCAGCAGCTCGAACACGAGCACGCAGATGCGGAGTGGAAGCCTCGGAAAAAGAACACCAGCCCTGCCGCATCATCGGTCGTTGCAAATTTCTCGAGATGCCTCCGGGCCCAGCAGCGCAGGTAGCTTGCCCATGCAGGGCACTCGTGATCTTGCCGAAGCAGTGCTTCGCGACGCCATGGGTCCGGAGGCCGATGGAAATCCCAGCAGCACAACCAGAACCGATCCTCCGGTCTCCGGTCTCCGGCGCGTCTCCGGCGCAGGTTTCCACTCGCAGCGGGCCCTTGCAGACTTCCGGAACGGTTGTTGCAGAGGCACGTGGGTTGGTTAGCAGCTACGGGAGATATCAAGCGATGACTTGTTGCGCTGCTTGTGGCAACTGCTTTTGTTTTGGCCTGAGCTTGTTGGCATACGCCAGGGGGAGGCGGGAAGCGTCCACTTCGAGCACGTGACTCCGGGCTGGAAGGTGAAATCCTCCAGGAGTCACTCTTATCATGTTTTCAGAGCGCAGGTAACTTCTGGCGATTCCGCCTCGTTTTGACTGGCCTCGACTTGCACCACGAAAGTTAGAGTCACGGTCTCGTTGACAACCTTACGTGGCCGCTGGCAAAGCTCAACAGCCCGCAGAGTAGGGGAGCTCTGCCCGCGAGCTTGTACAGTGAGTTCTAGGCGGTGCCATGCTTGTCCAGGCCTTAGGCCCCAGGCCCCAAAAGCGCGGGACGAGCAAGTGCACCTGCATGTGGGCCATGTGACATCTGGGATAGTGCAAAGAGCCCAAGAGTTGCAGGACTGAGAAAGACAAGACATCTGCGCTCAGGTCTCGTCCAGAGCTAACCTGATCTTCCTCCGCCATGCGGCGAGGGCCAGCCAGAAGCAAGTGTGAGTAATGCCAAAAATTCGTGTCGAAGATCTCTAGGCGTAGCTTCTTCCCATGCAGGCGGCCGCCACGAGCAGCAGCCTCCCACACGCACAGAAGGCTGTGCTTGTGAAGGAGTTGCTTCTGAGTCCTGCAGACCTGGCCCAGAGCATCCATCCTTGCTTCGAATTCCTTCTTGTCTGCAGGTGGATGGGGTCACCTTTGTCTCAGATGAAGCCTCCGCTAGCAAAGCTCTATCTGTGCTGAAGAGGCGTGGCGTAGTGAGCGTAGTGCTGCCTTGAAGAGCTGGATTCGGATTCTGTACTTGTAGCAGCATGAAGTGGGCTTTGGTACCGCTTTGGGTACCGCTTTGCTTTGACACGTTTTCGACCAGCCGTCACCAGTCTGCTCGCAGGTGCGCCGACAAGGTTGTCGCCTGGGACACCGAGACAACAGGGGCCACCAGCCTAGAGAGAGGGCGAGCGAGCGAGGGAGGTTTCCTGCGGAGCTCGCAGGCTCCTGCTCCTGCCGTCGACGGTACACGAGGGCTTTGACAGGCTCTGGGCCCTCGTGTGCTTTCACGCTTAGGTGGACCTGCGATTGGGTGCGGGCCTTGTTGGTCTGTCCAGCTAGACGTCACGATCTGTAATCCCAGTTCTGTTGACGGATTGACTCATCTTGGCTCTCCTCTGCATAAGGCCTCTTGCGCAGCGATCGTGGCCGTGTTGTTTGTGCAACTGCCTATTGCGGTGATGATGTTGACTTCGGCAACGGACCTCTAACTTAATTGGGACTTGTGCATCGGTCTTCCCAAATGCTGGGAGGTAGATCGACTGTGGCTTCTGCTGTCTAGCTCTGTTCAACCATTCCGTCCGCTTCGCGAAGCCGAGTGTGATTCATGTTTGCAGCGCGGGAGTTCATGATGATCCTGCTTTAGCGCTTCCCATGCCAAGAGCAGGACCCCGCCTTCTGATTGACAATGTCGTGCCGTCACAAGGCAGACCCAGCTAGCAAGTCATGCAGCACAGCAGCAGAATCCTGCGTGACCTGTGCATACTGCGAAGGCCTTCTGCCCATGTTCAAGGGCTACTTTGAGGAGCTGTTGCATATGGGGTGGGCGAAGCGCACTGCAAGGGGCATCACGGAAGTTGAACTTGATGGCCAATGCCGCCTCACGATGTTGCGCAATCGCAATGAAGCCTATTGAAGCCTCAGCATGGAGGCATGGACTCGGACACTGAACAACACGGAACAGTTGTAGCACAAGTGTTGATTGCCGAGGATCCGCAGTACAAAAAGGTGTTTCACAACTATGCTTTCGATCGGCACATGTGCGCATCTCAGCTTTTCTGGTGGCTTTCTGCATGGCATGTGGTCGCGGCGAATCATGTCGAGCAGCCATAGCCACCGATTGGTACGAGGATGAGCGCCAAACCGAGGTTGAAGCGTGAAGGCTGTCCCGTGCAGGGTCTAGAGGCAGATACGCAGCAGCCCCGGAGTCACACTCTGTTGGATAGCACAACGAAGCACGGCTACAAGGTCTACCTCGGGTTTCATTGCAGTTGGCTGGGTGTGAATCATGTCATGTGATGCTGATCTGCAAGGTTGGTTCTTGCCCGAATCCAAGACACTGCCAAAAGCGCTTGGGAGGGTCCTGCCAGGCCTGATCTTCTGAAGAAGCCAAGCGAAGCTCGCGAGACGGTCACGTCGAGCGCACATGCAGCACCATGCAGCAAGAGATGTAGCGGTACGAGAATGATGGAGGATTGGGGGTCATGCGCAGACTAGTGAAAGCCAGGGCCGCCATGCAGCAGAAGAACGAGCAGGTCAAGCAATCCTACGAGCGCATGCAAGTAGCAGCTTGGCAGCTGACTATGCTGGTTTGAACCCACGAGTACCGCAGTAATTAATTAGGATGACAAGGGATGAGACACTTGGACTGGACAGACATGCGGCGAACAGTGGTCTGGTGGGTAGATTCTTGCGGCTGAATCCATCAGCACGTTGCTAGCATGCTTTCTCCAGAGTCATCACCTGACAGAACCCAGATTGTTGCACATGACACTGTCGCGGCGGTACTCATTGGCAGACTTGTGGGAAGCAGGCACCTGCAGCACCAACCTATCCTGTCACTCGCGTCAACTTTGGCGGACATGCAATGGACGTGAAGGCATGGCAACTGGAACGCGCTGTTACTATTAGTCTTGAGGTCCGTTGTGTAGCGTGCACATCAGGCTGCCACGAATACACAGGGCGAGGGGGGTCAAGTAAGCAGCGTGGCAGGCTGTCTCCATGCTCATGTCCGGAATCCACACAGTGGCACTGCCCGCGGTTGAGGACCAGCTTGACTGACTTGCAGTGGGTGGCATGTAAGATGAGTTGAAGAACCGAGAGCAGAAACGAAACACCCCCCCTCAAACATCACAACAACTTGCGATTATCATGGGATTAGGAGCGGGCTCTCGGCACTGCTGAAACTTCAGTTGAAGGTATTTTTGTGCAGCCCCCACTGCCAGTTCAATGATTCGATGCCAGGACAAAAAGGGAGGTCTCCAAAGCAATCGGCTGCAGCCTCGCATTTGCAAGAAAGCCTGAGTGGGATTCGGAGGCTAATGCATTTGTGTATATTATATATATATATATAACATTACCACGCACTAGGTTTGTCTCAACACTTGCTTGAAGCAGTTGCAGCCCCTCCAACCGCAACATCAAATTCCACGCGAAACACACACACACACACATAACATTTTCGAGGATTCCCTTGCAAACCGTACCTCCTTATCCTGCAGCTTCCAGATGACACTTTCGGGTCCATCACGCTCTCAGCGCAGGCACATTGTGCTTTCCAGGTATGGGTACGACCTGAAGACCCTTGCGACTACATTCGGGTTGATGGACGAGGATCAGAAGTTGGAGCGCTTTCCCTTCGGAGAGTCTTTGCTGCATCGATCTTTCTTGGAAGCGCACAGCAACGATGAGTATGAAGGGCAAGCATCGAGCTGTTAGTGGATTGTCTGAGTTGCGACTGTCGAAGTGCAACAGGCCCATGCAGACGCAGCTCTACAAGCGCATCTGGACAGAGATTGGGACTAGGGAGGAAAGGTTGCTAATTCTACTGACAACTTGACTGGTGTTAGCGAATCGTCGTCTTTTGAATCTGCCTCCGCCTTCCCAGCGGAACCCAGCAATAAGGTTGACATCGCCAGAAACGTTCAACAAGTTTGTGGAGTATGCGACTCTCGATGCCGTGCTTTGGACGAAATCCGAACACGAGCGAAGCCGGTATGGTGGCTTTAATTGCAGCTCCCTTGTTTTGTGGAACTGGGTTTGAATCCCGGTTGTTTGGGGCTCCCAAGCACAGAGGGGAAGACAGCAATAGTAGCCGTTTTCGTAGTAGTTGCAATGGCAGTCGCAGTAGTTTACGTGCCGCATCTGATTCTCTAAATCCAAATCCGAAATGCTCAGCTTGCGCCTGCATGCTGGATCCCCTCAAGTTTGCCTCAGCAGCTGGCTCCATTCAAGCAAGCGCACGTTTAAGCTCGAACAGCGGGCTTCAACATGTACTTTGGCGTCCATGCCACTGGGAATACTTTGCAGGCTAATGCATGATGAACTATTGACTGGTGCTGGTATCATTGGTATCTAAGTAGCTACGCATGACGAGACCAGTCCACGCTTGAACAGGTTAAGTAAAGCAGCAGCACAGCAGCATCTAACGGCGTTTTGCATCTGATTGTATGGAGAGCCAGGATGATTCGGAGGTCGGCACAGCCGACGCTGGGCAGCCTCGCTCGAGGTCACTGTCCTGCTTTGCTGCACTTTGGCGCGACACGCAGACGAAAGTGCTGAAGGGCTACCGTCCAGAGCAGCTCAGGCAAGTGGGGCCAAAATTTACAGTATGGTACGCCCTGGCGGCATGTACTTTCGTACAAGCATTTTGATGTATTTTCGAGTAGTTATTAGTACGCAAATCTAAATACAAGGTTTAAAAGAACAGTTACTAATGCACAATTCCAAATACAAGGTTTAATGCAGGAGATAAGATTAGGTAGTAAAACGTGTCAAAGACCGAAGGCGCTCCCTAGCCTTTGGTTTGCTGGCGGCCTATCACAACTACGTTTTTCTTGCGGCGGCACTTAGCATAGTGATACTGAGTGGCAATTTGATCCTTGCGTGGTTCATCAGCTGGTTCCAAGAAGTCCGCAATCTCGAAGGAGCGCTGGATCCGGGCAAGGTGTCTTTGGGTTATTACCTGGCAGTTCTACTTCGGTGCTGGCTTCTGATTCACCTGTCTGCAGAGCTGCTTCGCTGCACCATCTGGTTGGTTGAGGACTGTTGGGAAGTGCAGACTTTTCAGACATACCGGCGAATCTGTACGGGTGCAGCTTTTCTGAAGATGCGCGAAGCACAGCCAGTTCCTGCTATTGCGAAACAGCTATCATGCAGTGGCTGGGTGCATGGAAGTTCTTGGCAGTGGTGGCTGGATCTACTGATTCAGGCGCTGATATATGCGACCATAGATGTGGTTCCCTTAGTCTTCGCCGTGCCTTCACTCTTTCGCCTTGACTTGGTGAGCTTTCTAAGCTCTCTTTTTGCTACTGCATGCTCTGCTGGGGTCGTGCATGTGATGATCCTCTATGCTGCCTGGACAGTATCGGATGCGGTTGCAAAGGTGGTGGCGTGGAATGCATTGCGAATCTCCGACTCTGACATCCTGCCTTTGCCGCCCGGCGAAGTTCTGCGAGAGCCACAGGCCGATGAACCCGAAGATCCCCTGGGACCTGCCAACTTCTGCGCCCTATTTGGTGGCATCTTGCAGTTGGGCTGGGTCGTGATCTTGAAAGCAGTGTTTTTTTCTGCGTTGGTGATCTTTGCAATACAGAGAGATATGGCAGATGAAAACCCATTCTGGCTGGTAGCTGCGCTCCTCCTCGGTGTGGCTTTCTGGCATTCTAGCTTCGCCCAAGGCCTGCAGCTTCTGGCAGGCTGGCTCGAAATGTCTTCGTGGAGGTCTTGCTTGCCATGCAACACGGCTGACGAAGAAGGTGAGACACTTTCCGGTGAGGGCGATGCTAGGTTCCTGTGTGTGCCAGTGCAGCTCGCGGCTAAGTTGCAAGCGTGGGGAGCTGCGCATGCTGGTCTTTCAGCAACCGCTTTAGCAGGCCAGTATGAGCTTGCCGTTTATGCTTTGTTGCTGCAGCTCGCGCTGTTCGGCAACTTCAAGTGGGTTGAAGGGGGCATCTTCATTCTGCTCCTCATCATTTTGCTCTTGTTTAGACGGGCGACACTGCTTCGTTTGGGCAATTGGTGTGCTTTCTTTGGTCTACTCGAGAGCACTTTCTTGGTGGTGTTGGCAGTAGCCATGAATGCGGCCTACTCGGGATGTGCAGGAGGTGGGGCTGTCCTCGTGCTGGCCTTGCTCTTGCAATGTACGCTCATGCGGGAAGAACTCCGAGCTTGGCGTGTTTGGCGGGCTGTCATCTTGGGGCTTCACTGCAGCTTAGTCCTGGTGGTGGCCCTTTGCATGTGGTCCATGCAGGGTGGAAGTGGTTGGACAGAGCATCGAGCTCAGCCCAGAGTTGGAGTGAGCACGTACCCCTGGTGCGATCTTCAGTGGCCCTTGGGACAAGGCTCCGGTCGCTATTTAACTATTACCAATTTCGCTGACATCTGCGCGATGACGAACCTCCCAGGCTCGGATTTCAATGCCACCCTGAAGTCGCAGTTTCCGGGATGGACGCTCGTGTTTGAGAGACGTGCAGGGAACTCCCGGTCAGACAAAAGCCGCGACGGATATTACGACTGGACGACCTTCTTTGAGCTGGCAGATCCGCAGAACGAATCCACGCTGTTTGCAGTTCGTGGGACCCAGAGTCCGCTGGAAGTGCTGCAGGATGTGAACATATTCACGCCGGTTGTGCTCACACAGATTGCGGCATTCTTCGGCCCGGACCTCACGTCCTCCGTGACCAAGACGGTCTTCTCACTGTTTTCAGGGCTCCCCAGCATTGACAAAGACTTCTTCCAGGCAGGTGCGTTTCTTGCGGAGGTGAAGGTTTGCACTGGCATGCTCAAGCTGCGAGGTTAAAAGATGCCCAGAGAGTTCCGTAAACAAACGCAAGACCCTTGCGACAGGCTTTCCTGGCGCATGTGCGCGCCCGAGTGAGAAGTGACCCATCACGCCGGTACTATCTCACTGGCCACTCTTTGGGTGGAGGCCACGCGGTCCCGAACCGTAGTTCCATGCAGTTGCATTGAAGGCGGTTCGATCAAGTAAATGATGCGATGTCTCGTCTGAATGTGTTGCAACATGACACCGCATCAAGTGTGTTGATGTTGCTCACCCTTTGATCCTCATGCACAACCCAGCTCAGCGGGTTCGGTGCAGAGCTTGCTTTTTGTATGTCATCAAAGTCTATGCAAGATTTGCTTCCTCTCCAGGCTTGGCGAAGCTGGTGGCGCTGGAGGTGGGACAGCCATCTGTAACCTTCGCTGCCCCCGGCCTCCGGTACACCTCGCAGATGCTGCTTTCGAAGGAGGCCCTTGCGCACGGCAATGCATGGCAACTCATGCTCTAAGAGGTCCTTGGACTCTGTCTGCCTTCTCTGTGGTTTCTCGTCCAACTGACTCAGTCCGAGCGTAGGTGGGGAGAGAATTTGACTCGTCACCATGGACTGCGAAGAAACATCAACCGTGCATCTCTGTGGGTGTGAAGATGTATCTCTGTGGGTGTGAAGATGTGTACTCGAGTTTTTCGTTGCGCTCTTGTTTCGATTGTTTCTGCGTCCGTGTGCGGATGCAACTGAGGCCCCCGATACCCACAATTACATGAACAATTCAGAATCGCGTTATTCACACAAGTGCCAGGGCACCGTCCCGTGCTTCGAAGCACATGTGATGACTGGGTTCAAGCATTGCAGTATGATCGCTGAGCAGTTCGTGTGTAGCGAATCTCATGACTCGGTTGGTTTCAAAACAAACCTCGCAGTGCAGATGGGTACTGACCTGAGTCCTCAGACGGACAAAACTTGGCACCGACTCTGCTGATCTCGTGGCCGCATGTCAGTGGCATCGAGAGTGTACATGAACGTCATATAACGTCATGTGATATCATGCCAATATGGGTCAGATATGCCAACTGGAAGAATCATGAAGCAGGATCATGTCGTTCAAACGATACAGTGGACCGTGGGCTTGTTTGCGTTTTCTTGAATTTAGAAGGAGTAGCCCGCAGAGAGCGTCAGGAATTTCCCGAACTCGGCCATGCGCGACGTGGAAACGAGCCCGTCGAACTCCAATACTGTTGCCAGGAGAGGCTTGACAAACAAAAACGCTGGCTTCTTCGCGTGGATGACCTCGTAGACGTTGGGTTGGTCGGTGTTACGTCCTGTTCCGTCCACTCGGTGAGAACCGATGTGTCAATGCTGTGTTCGGTTGGGCATTCCAGTCGTCGTGTCGCCCTGAGTCCTGAGCATTGGTCCAAAGGAATACCAGGTACCGTCATGGCGCCGATTGAGGTGGAGCCGTGTCTGCCGCATAGACGTCAATGCTTGGTGCTGAAACAAAACCACGGTCTAGGGGAGTGCAGTGAAGCATGCGGCTGGCAGGGTGACGCACTTTTCTTTGGTGACGCGCGTGTCGTTACATACCTCACCACGAAGGCAATCTACACCGGCAGCGAGTTGTTGGAGGCAGGGGAACACCTGTCGACAAACGTAGCTTCTGGGCCGCAGGCACTAATGCAATCCAACCCGGACCCGCATTGGTGAGTGAGCCAGTCAAAGTACGTGAATGCTGCTAAGTTTGGGTGCTGTAAGATTGATTCAATAGTTGGTTCAATGAACCAACTACAAGTACCTGCATCTACATGCTCGCCACGAAGAGCCATCTTGAATCTTCTCTGAGGTTCCCGAACACGACCTGGTGTCCCAAATTGACCAACAGCTGGGTGCACAGCTTGGGGTGGCCTGTGACCGGAATTTGTTTGGATGCCACAGCCTGCAGCACATTCTGTATGAATTGCGTATGAGTTGTTAGACCCATTGCCTGTACAGTAAAGCAGACTGAGCTCGTTGTAGATGAGAAAATTCGATGGTACAGCGTTCGAGTCCCGGACGTCACTGTTCCACGGCTCCTGGAATGCGAAGGTAAGCAGCATTGCAGCATGCCTGCTCATTCTGCTGCCAAAGAAAAAGCTGCGCGAGGGTCCGCCTTGTTTCTGGCCTGCGTGTCGGGTAGAGATGCTAGGCTAGACTCGGCAAGAGTGCAAGAATCGCAGGATGAAGCTTCCCTTCACACCGTTGCATCCGTCTCTCAAATGCGAGGTGCTTACCTGGAGGTTATTCGAGCACCTCAAGCTACTCTTGTTGGAAAGGCTTACGGCACGGGCTCATGACCGCATCGAGGTTCGAGCTTTTTTGTACTCCACAGCAGGCCCTGGACCACGGAAGTGCACAAGCTGCCCGTGTCACAGCTTCTGAGTGACGACGCCGCTGCAGACGCGATCGCGGATGAGCTTCGGAGCTATGGGTGCGCCCAGAGGCAGTCAGGTCATGGTGCACGTCGTACCACGGCTTTCCGCGCCAGGACAAAGCCTAAACCGTTTTCATGCGCCAGAGAGCGTAAGAGAGCATCAGAGTTCCGTGTCCTGGCAGCAAATCAAGTCGTGACAATGTTGAAAACACCGGGGCCAGATAGAAACATTCGCAGTGCTCGCATTGAGTGAGGCTCCTTGGCCGGAACACCGGGGACTGTGCAGCTTCGTACAGGACGTATCCGCTTCTGAAGGGTCGCGACTTGCGTTGCGCTTTGTCACGGCCTGCAGGCACAAGCATACTTGCGGTCGCAGCTGACGTTTGTACTTATGGCTTGAGGACAGACCATCTGGGACTTTTATCAGCAGAACCTCCGGGAACTGCCTGAGTGCTTGGCCAAGATGCAAGATCGAGGCAGCGGAGAAGGTAAAGACCTCTTGCGAGATACACGAAACTGGATCTTTCGAATCGCTTAGAAACAGTATGTTACTTGAAAGGACCCCGATCCCATAGCCGAAAATAGCCGAAGCAGGACCTGCCCCACCTATTCCATGACCACGAGTAAGCCTAAGATACATGCGACCATGCACCGTATTTTCTGAACGAGCACGAGCCACCTTGAGCGCTAGGGGGATTTGCATCCGATGATTCAGAGAAGCAGGTGATCTGAAGATGTTGCATAAGCAGAAGCTGCATGCAGGGCGTTCGCGGCCTTTGAGTTTCCGACAAAGAGACCTGACCATAGAGTCATGTCATGGAGGTGTTCCTGTGGATGCTTCGACTCTCGAGCGTCTGGAGGACATATCCCGCGGAGACCTGGAAAAGCCACCGGGACCTCGATATAATAAAGACATCCGCTAGCAGGCTTGGCTGCTGCCGTAGGGGGGGATCCTCGCATGCGAGAGTACAGTACATGAACACACAGTTGCACATACACAGTTAAAGCACACATGTGTAGACTTCGATATTGGTTTGCATAAATCGCCCGTAGTTGTGGATCCTACATTCAGAGAGGAAGCAAACACCGAGCGCATTTGGTTGTACAGAAGCAGATCAGGCAAAGAAAGCAAATGAGCTTGCACAGCCTGGGTCTCGATCCCCTGTGACGCCAAACACCGCGGTCGTCGTGGAACGGAAGCCTGTCTAACTGACCGACGATCCCAAAAACAATTTTCCAAAATCTTTACAGAAGGCAAGATACGCGCTAGGTAACACCGCAAAGCAGAACGACGAGGAGGCAAAAGAGGAGTAACTCGCAAGGAGAAAACCATGAAAATTACGCGAAAAAGCAGGCACGGCATTGATCGCAATGTCCAAACACGCCATCTCGTGCTGTCAAGCAGTCTTGCAGCAATCCGGCTTTTAGCGAAACAGACATCCTACAGGCTTAGCGCAAGAAAGATACTGTAGACACCATTTTTTGTCTTTCGATCCTGGCTCGCCGTGAAAATTCCTCTTACGGCACCCCGGCATGCCATAAGGAAATATACCTAAATCTCTATCCCGGAATGTCAGATTGTGCTGAAGTGTTGAGCTTATCCTCAGGAAGACGAGCCTCTTGCGTGAGACATTGAAGTCCATCCGCAAGCCTGATGGAAGTGTACTTTGCGAAGATGTGGCTGCTTGGCCGGTGGATTGTACTGTGTCCGAAATTATATAGTGTCGCTGAACATGGCGCCTGGACACGGGCACATCTATTCCCTGGCTTTCACAGGAGACACCCTTAGTTTTCTCTTTCCGCATCTGAAACTGCACTGATCAAGCACAAAATCACCTAACAACTCCTGCAAACATGTCATCTTTTGAAGAGTTGCCAGGTTTCGTATATAAAGCCCGCGTCGTTGAACCAGGCCCTCTAAACACGGATGATTTGTAGCAATGGAGCTGTCACTTCAGTCTGCCATCAACATCAACAGCGCGCAGCAGCTCCAGACCCTGCTGTTTGGAGGCTGGGGGCTAGTTTTCCAGGAGCTTCGAGCACCTGTCATGTTTCCCACAAGCTCGCTTGACTCATGGACTTCCTTCGTTGATTCGTGGATGTGGATCGCAGAGCTTCAGCGGCCACAGAATGCCGCAAGCCTTCAGTTCAAGGCTTTGTTATACTTTCTTGCTCAGCTGTGCAAAAAGTTCTGCCTGCGCTCTTGCAACTGGCGTACCCAGTTGCCACGTTCCTGTACTGGGCACATGCAGTAGGCGGGAACACAAAACGTTTTTCGCTGAACTTATTTCCGCATGGATGGCTACCGTTCGGTTTCTTAGCCTTAGGCGTCGTCTGGTCGAGTGGCCTATGGCGCACCTCTACGATACACGGTATAACGACCTTCTCAGAAATGAGCAGGCGCGAGCAACAAGTTCAACTCCTTCGAGACTTTGGAGGCCTGTTTTGCTGTTTCGGTTCTGTGGTGTGAGAAATGATGTGGGAATGGAAAGACGGTGCCATGACTCAAGGAGGATCCGTTGATGAATCCTTTGCCAGCTTAGTTTAATGATCTTGGCTGAGCTCAAAACTGATCCCCACGGTCGGCCTCGAGCTTTCCAAAGCCGCATACAAAACGCGGATTTGGCCATTATGTTTCCTACATCGCGGACGAAAGTCTCCCAGTTTCGCTAGGTGATGATGAAGCACACAAGGACGTGGAAGCCACCGGACCTCTGTGGAACCTTGGCCTGCGCGGATGTGCAGAATGTGGAGCGGAGTGATTTTGGCACAAGTGCCTCTGCGCGAGGCACTGACATGATAGTAGCAAGAACACATAAGAACACCGACCGCACGTGGCAGCTGCTCGACATCCAGGTTTCGTCGCTTGTGCTCGCAAGCCAACGGAAGGAATCAGTACAGAGACCCTGGATGCTCGCATGTCGCCCCTTTGTCACGGTAGCAAGCCCGACCTCATGCCAAGAGCAACAGAGGCGTTTTTTTGCGCATACATCCCAAGCCAAGGGACGGTTGGGGGTTCTTTTTTTTCTTAATGGTTTCTTGTTGGTATTTTTTATGGTTTTCGGTTCGGTGGGTACGCGAGTCAGTCAGTCAGCCAGCCAGCCAGGCAGTCAGTCAGTGAGTCGGTCAGCCAACTGCGCGGTCAGTCAGTCAGTCGGTCGTCCAGCGGTGAGTCGGTCAGCCAGTCAGTCGGTCTGCCAACCGAGCCGTCAATCAGTCTGGCTGTCTGTCAATCAGTCTGTCAGTCCGTCAATCCTCTACTGTAGTCCGTCGGGCTGTTGATCTAGCGTTGCACCTGCAGCCAGTGAGCATGGGGTACCGGAGACTCGGAATCGCCAAGAGGGGGGGCGCGTTTAAGATTCATGATGAACCGGAACCGCCGAATCAGGGGGCGTGTTTACCATAGATGATGGGCCGTTATCACCAAAAGAGGGGGCGTGTTAAAGACATATGTTGAAACGGAATCGCCAAAAGAGGGGGCGTGTTTAAGATATTTGGTGAACGGTTTTCGCCGAATGCGGGCGCGTGTTAAAGATATCTGCTGAACCGGAATCGCCGAACGACGGGGTGTGTTGAAGATATGATGAGCCGTTATTACCAAAAGAGGGGCTGTGTTTAAGATATATGGTGAACGGTCATCGCCGAATGAGGGGGCGTGTTAAAGATATATGGTGAACCTTCAAGGGGTGTATCTAAGATTTTGTGCCAAATCTATGGTGAACCGGAATCGACAAATGAGGGCCCGTGCTTAAGATGTGATGAACCGCCGGTCCTCTTGCAAGTGCGTTTGCAAATGGGGGGCTGCGCCCCCCCAGACCCCCCCCCTTGCTTTCTCTGGGCCATGTGGGATGGTCGCCGCGTGTCAAGCGCATAACTATTCTGAGACTTTTCAAATCCCGTCTCAGGGGCCCAACCCCCCTCGCTTTATGTTTGGGCCACGCTGCCACCGTTTTGTGCTTCGGGCAGGCTAGGTGAACGGTGTTCGTTCTTGCGCTCCACCTCAGTCGTACCTCACCACCTAGAATAGCCATGCGTTGCGTGTTGTGGCTCCAGGCCAAAATGGTGTTCTGGTTTGTTGACCTCAGTGTGTGAGGTGTACCTAGAGTTGCTGGGTGTATGTTTCATCCCACCCTCCTCTCCCTATATCTAGATTCCAGATCCGATCTTAGTCGTACTCACTGGGTGAGCGACTGCCCTCCGCCTTCGCGGCGGTTGTGGTAGAGGCACTGTGTGCCGCTTTGGCGTATGGGAGGTGTGTATCCCATGTGCCATGAGTGTTCGCTGAGTATACAGCGTGCGGCCGGGCGGCCCCTGTGTGTTCAGGGACCAGCAACGCACTATGGGCGAGTAGCTCATGGAACGAGTGATTGCTGAGTTGCGAGCCTTAAGGAAACACTGAGAGTGAGTGCATAGAACGAAGCTAAGATATATGGTGAACGGTTTTCGCCGAATGAGGGAGTGTTAAAGCTGTATATGGTGAAGCGAAATTGCCAAATAAGGGGTGTGTTTCATATATATATATATATGCTGAACCGGAATCGCCAAATGAGCGGGGTTGTTTGACACGTATCATGAACCGTTATCACCAAATGAGGGGCGTGTTTATCATGTATGTTGAACCGTTATCGCCAATTGAGGGTGGCGAGTTTAAGCTATAGGCTGACCCGGAATAACCAAATAAGGGGGGGGTGCTTACCGCTTGCAAGTGCGTTTGCAAACGGGGGGGGGGGGCTGCGCCCCCCCCCGGCTTTCTTCAGCCCCGTAGTGAACTTGCTTTAAGCGAACGTCGTACCATCAAGAACTTTTTTCCGGCCATTGGCGATTGGTCGTAGCAAGTCAAGCACGTAACATATATGAGATTCTTCACAGCCCGTCCTGGGGGCCCAACTCCCCCCCCTGCTTTGTGTTTGGGCCGCGGTGAATGGTTCTCGCCGAATGAGGGGTCTTGAATAGATGTATGGTGAACCGAAATTACAAATAAGGGGGTGGGGCGTGCTTCATATATATATATATATATATGGTATATGGTGATCCGGAATCGCCAGATGAGGGGCTTGTTTAAGACGTATCATGAACCGCCATCGCCGAATGAGGGGACATGTTTAACATGTACGTTGAACCGTTATCGCCAATTGAGGGGGAGTGCTTAAGCTACAGGATGACCCGGAATTACCAAATAAGGGGGCGTGCTTTAGATATGGTGAACCGGAACTACCAAATCGGGGGGCGTTCTTCAGATATATGGTTCAAGATGTATCATGAACCGAAATCACCAAATGAGGAGGGGGACGTGGGGTACCGGAATCGCCAAATCAGGGGGCGTGATTGGCATGATTTAATATGATGAGCCGGAATCGCCGAATCAGGGGGCGCGTTTAAGATATATGATGAGCTGATATGAGCTGTAATGACCAAAAGAGGGGGGGCGTTAAAGGTTATATATATATATATGTACAGACATATGATGAGCCGTTACCACCAAAAGAGGGGGCGTGTTTTAACATATATGGTGAACGGTTATCGCCGAATGATGGGCGCATTCAGGATACATGACAAACCTATATCACCAAAAGAGGGGGCATGTTTAAGACATATGGTGGACGGTTGTCGCCGAACGAGGGGGCGTGTTAAAGATATATGGTGAACCGGAATTACCAAATATGGGGGGCGTGTCCAAGATATGCGGTATAGTCATATCTATGGTGTACCCCAATCGCCAAATGAGGGCGTGTGCTAAAGATGTGATGAATCGCCGGTCCTCTTTTGCATTGCGTTTTTAAACCGGGGAGGCCGTTTTATAATTCTTCTTGAAATTTTCAAGTGTTCCGGATCCATCATAGGCAAAGAGGGGGGGGGTCCCCGCTTCGTCAAACCGCGCAAGCTCGCTTCAAGCATCATTCTGCCAGCAAAAACAGAGTCCATATGAACGTGATGCATACGTACATTGGGTTTGCAACTGGGGGCCCCCCCCCCCAACAGGCGGGTTCTTTTTATGCCGTGCATGGCTTGCCGTCAAGAAGAATTCAAAGTTTCGAGTGTTCCAGATCCATCATACACGGTGCAAGTTCTCGACAATCCAGGCCCAGAAAACCATAAACAATACACCCAAAAGTCCAAAATCAGGCCCCTCCGCGTGATCCTTGCCTTACAGGGTTTTCTGCAATCCAGGCACAGACAACCATAAAACATACCCAAATAAAACCATAAAAGATACCCAAAACAAACCTGGACCCCCAAGGGACTCCAAGCTCTCACAGGCGACGCGCACCTTCCAATCTGCCGAGGCCTGGTGTTTGCGGTGTGCTGGCGCAAGGTCATGTTTGGCCATTGCTTGCGCAAGTGCTCGTTCGTTTCGTCGTGGTTGCGACACCCATCGGTGCTTTGGTCTTGAGGCCTCCGGGAAGAGGCCTGCCGCCCAGCCAAGTGAGCCCATTTTTCAATCGTCGCAGCTCTTGCTACGTGCCGGATCGTTTGTGCCGGAACGTTGCCACAAGCACCGCTTGGCGCAGGAAATTCGAGCTGTCGAGCTTGGGCCTGGAGCCAGGCAAGAAGAAGATTGCTCGGGCCTCACCCTTCGTGCCTTCGTGTCCTGACTCTTGCATCTGACGGAAGCCCCAAGAGTATGGGTAAAGTCCCGCTTTCAGGCTTTTCCTAGGAGAGGGCGAAAGATTTGGAGAGATGGATGTGGGCTTGAAAACTGGAATTAGCTGCAGCCTATGGAACTACAGGCCCATGCAAGGCCAGCAGCAGAACTGAAAGCCGAACGCAGCTTAGGACTTTACCCACAAAGGCTGGCCCAGCACTCGCAAGGAGTCGTGGGGGCTTCGGGAGGTGACCTGCCTTGATGGGAACCGTCTCATCAAAATTAGAGCTTCTGCAGCAGGTACTGTGTTTCAGTGGGAGGGACATTGGGGCCAAATTTGGTTGATTCAAGGGCGCAGAGACATCCCACCATGGAAGCTGAAATCTTCTCGCACTGCATCTCGCTTTCCCAGCCTCCTGCTTTAAACCGTGCATTGTGATTGAATTAGAATTGAAGTGTGCGTTGGCAACGAACTAACTATCTGACATGGTCGTGGACTCTGGAATATGAAGCCGGAGAGGCCTAGGCCCGGAGACTTGCTGGAAGAGGCTAAAGGATCGACAAATGGCAGGAACATTTTGACCACTTCGTATCGCAGCCTCCCACTGATGGCTCGTCCGCTGCCCGTGCTGCGCAGGAAGTCATGGCCCGCCTTCGCAGCGGTGGAGAGGCCAGGGGGCCAACTCGAGTCCAGGAAATAACATCATGTCGTGCATCGTTGATTTCATCGTGCTCCACATTTTGGTTTTCGCATTGGCATAGGATCTCCCAAGAGACCAGTGCCAGGTCGCGCGCCAGCTGACGGAAGCTGGATTCAATGAGGAAGCGTTGGGCAATGCCCGGGCCCGATGTGTCAGCAATCCAATTGCCGGATACCAGCAACGGTAAGGTGCGTGCATGTGCGTGCATTTTTCGGCTGCTTGCTCCCGCTTGGTCAGGTGGAAGCGGCGCTTGGTTACTTGTCAGATTGCAAGCAAATCGAGGCTCGGAGCCTCGTGACACTGTCATCAGGGGATGTTGAACTTGATTCGCGGGGTTTTTCGGAAGCCCGGCCATGAAGCGCATGGCGAAAGGCAAGACAGCAACTTTGTTGCCAGTAACTCGATGAACTTGCCAGGCAAGTTGTGGTTGAAATTGTGTCTTGTCTGCTTGCAGGCATGCTTCCGGGATGCCTTCTTAGGCTGTTGCGAAAACTGTTCAGACGAGGCGGACATCTCTGTAGAAGGATAGTCTGACCAAGTACTTCATCGCGTTCGATTGATGCCTGCAAACAGGGGCTTCTGCACCATGGATGGCTGACCCTGAGCACCGTCCATAAGATTTGGAGATCGAGCCAGTGTTGTCCTTGCAGGGCCCCACTATTCGGCTTCTCGAGCTCTTAGATGGGTTGGCTCATGTGTCCGTCGGGGGGAGTCGAAACTTCTGGCACGGGGTTCGCTGCTCGTCCGACATCTGCCGCTTTTGAAGAAGATGAACGCCATTGAAGTTCTAGCTCCTGTCCGGTGCAGACCACTGCCCGCATGCTGAAAGCGCTGCGGACCGCCGCCTCCCAGCTCAAAGGGCGCGCCTTTCGACCCTGGCCTTGCATGGCTTTGTCCTCAGGTCGTGAAGGATCGGATCCATCCCTCCTGGCAGCCTGGAGCTCGAGAAGGGGTGCTTGCACTGCTTGTAGAAAAGCTGGAAAAGCACAGGTTCGCCACCTCCACCGGGCGCTTGACTTGCAGTCAACCCAATTTGCACAGCCTGGTTGCAGGGAGCAAGGCCTGCCCCACAACGCTAAGATGTCAGACGCGGAACGAGACGACTGTGCAGGACATCTACGGTTTGCGAGCTGCCTTCAAGGCACAGCCAGGCCAGCATCTTTGTCCACAGTATGCAGCAGATTCTTGCTGCAAAGCAGTTATGGGCAGTCGTGGCGCCAGTATCGAACAGGCATGTGTCTACATGTTCGACCTGCAATCTTCTAAATCCATGCTCTTCGAAGTTAAGAGAACATTCTAGCTACGGAGATTGTGCCATGTCCGAAACTCCAGGGGTTGCAAGCTGGACCCGCAATCACTGTTCTAAATCAAGCAACACTTTAGCTACACACCATGTGCTGCGGCAGCTCAGAACATGGCTAGCTAAGGTCACAAACTGGTGCTTGCAGATTACTCCCAGCTTGAGCTGCGCATCCTGGCGCCTCGGGTTCCAATCAGTTGTGGCATTCAGGTAGGCTCAAACCTTCAGTCCTGGCAGCGAGGCCCATATCTCCAAGTGCAGGCAGGATGCACTTTATGCTACTCGACTCGTACCTGCAAAAGTGCGAAGTAGATCGGCGAATTGTACCTGGCAGGGTCATGTCGCAAGGTCTGCATGAAGGCGGCGACTACCATGCCCAGGCCGACTTCAACTAAGCTGTTCAGTTGACAGGTTGCTGGCATCTCCACGAAAGAGCAATGCATGCGTCATCATTGACAGCAGCACGAAGCCATTGCGTATCGTTTCGGAAGGTTGCGGCCGAGATGTTTGACCACGTCCGCGAGGCTCTGCTTAGTTGCAGAAGCTTTTTGCAATGGGGTGTATAGATGGAAAGTCGAGACAAGTGGTTGATAGACCCGGAGAAGGTATCGTGTGTGTCTAGCAATTAGACCTGTGCCTTCTTTTCAGCCAGACATCAGCAATGCGAGAAGGCCGTGGAGAAAGGTGATGTCACGATGGACAACACTGGCGCGCGGAGTGTAAGGCAAAGCCCCTAAAGTGAATGCTGCTGTGTGGCTTCGGCATGTCAGCACCAGAAAAAAACGCTAACCTATTGATTCAGAGGTCACGTTGCATTTTGCCTGAAACGGGGTTTGCAGGGGCATTCTGCAGAAGCTGCGCCCTTTGCACTGCTTCAGGGATTGAGGCTCAAGAGTCCACGGATAGGCAGGGATTAGTTCTGCGCTGCCTTTCCATCCCCCTCGCAATCATGGGGGTCATGGCACTTCGGCTGCAAGAGTGGGCCTCGCAGATGCTAGATGGGGTGAAGTCTCGCTTGTCTAAGGACCTCACTGTAGCAGATATGATGCCCGAGAAGGGCGAGGCCAGATTGGGAGCACGAAGCACGAGCGGACGAACAGCATTCTCAGCAGCTTTTTTTTGCCTTGCCTGTCGCCCTGTGCCAGAAAAAATGCTGCTGCTGTTGCTGCGGCTGCTTCGGCTTCATCGTCTTCATTCTCTTCATCACTTCTTTCCAGCAGGCCAGCCCGCAGAAGAACAGCACACGGAGGCGCTGGCAGAGATAAGCAATGCTGCCTCGTGACCGATTTCCCGAATTGTGCTGCAGTGCATGCACGTGTAAGCTCCAGTTACATCGTTCGTTTGCCGTTTGGGGACAAACCGAGGGTATGAGAGGGCGATCTTTGTGGAACGCTTGGATCCTCCTCCCAGTTTGTAGCTTGCAACAGCCAGAAATGCCATTGAGCTATCTTTGGATTGCAGTCGCAAGCTTTCAAGTTCTTTTTGGCGGACATGGTTTGTCCCGAACCTCCCGACAGAACTTGCTTGGGAATTGCCGACACAAGAGTGGGCAAGTTGCTGGGCAACCAGAGTCTATGGAAGCCTTCGTGCTCCAGGTTTCACTGAAGAGTTGAGGTGCATACCTTTCCGAGGGAGTGTAAGTTATGGTTCAGCGGCAGCATTGCGACGCTAGCTGAGACGTTTGATATTAGCAATCTCAGACATAGCTCGGCGAAAGCAGCGTCTCAGCTGGCTGGCTCGTAATGTCCGCCGTGCATAGCGATTCGCCTGGAGCGTGTTCTCAGGTGAATCGGCTGCATGCGGGGCTCCTGAGAAACAGCCTCACCGGTGAGGTGGGCTTAGAGCGCCCGGCGCCCAGTTCCCTGAGTTGGATGCCACATCAAGGTGCGGAGAGGTGAACATAAGCGAAAAATGCAGGCCACTAATGGTACATATGCATGCTATATATCTATATTTACATTTATCGTCCATCTTATTATCTGTCTATCTGTGCAGAATCTATCGACTATATCTATGTTTGCACGCACATACAGACACGTGTGCACATGTAGATGATATTCATGTGCTTTGTTTGGTGTATACAAATAGCAAGTACGCAACAATCAAGTACAGTAAATACACACGGAGTGCATAGGTGTGTAATGTACACCTCTAGAAACCCTCATATGTCATGTATACATGTACCGAAAGGTCCATAGAAATGACAGGTCAAGGAGTTTCTTGTGCCATCTACACGCGGGGTGGCAAAAGGGTAGATCGCGCGGAATTGAGTTTGGCGCCCTTGCATGTCGAAGTCATCACGACTTGCAGGAATTGCAGCGTTACAAGACATAGAAACACCCGGCAAGATCGAACGTTGGAGTCTGCAAAAGCCAATTGCGGGTATTGTCAGGAGCATACTTGCAGGGGCGACGCCTGGCTGCAGACCATGGCAGATCGATTGATGTAGATTGCGCATTCTCCGTTCGTGGATACCAGCCAAGGTTACTTCGTGGGGTTCTGGAACGAGTTCTTGCACTTTCCCACAACTCTCAACACAATTGTTTCTTGGCCCGGTGACAGGTGAGGCAGCAGTATGCATTCCTGCATTGACCATATTCGTGGGTCTACTTCATAGTTTGTCGGAGGAATTCGCTGACGAAGCAGTCGAAGAAGGAGTGCAACAGCTGGGAAAGCTCAGGCTCGTTGCTGGGCTCCGGGAAGTTCATGTGACACCGACAAGTGTATCTACAGAGAGCCAACTTGTGTAACCACCCACTTGCAAGCAGCTTTCCTATGAACTGTGACTGTGTCAGGTCGCGCGACAAGGACGGCAAGCAGATTTGGCTAGATGTGTCTGTCCAGCGGCCTTTCTGAATACATACATTCAGTCCCATGGTTTGTGCGTGCCTTGTGTGGTAAACTCAATCCGGAACGATTCTTGCACTGCAACGCTGCTCAAAAACAGCGCTTCTTGGTTTCGATCGCGAAGTTGGTGCCTGCTGGATTTCAGTACTTGCAGCAGGCGCCTTTGTTGTTTTGCTCTGCGCTGGGCCTTGGTAGACCCCTGCAGCCCAAGGTATCGGATCTATCCGGAAGAGCTGCCGCAAATCTACAGGCCGACACGTGGTTGCCGGTTGTGCAGGGCCATGCCAAGACTAAGACATGTGAGCACATGTGTCCGAGCCTCCTGGAACAAACAAGCCAGATGTGTTCAGCTTGGACTCCGACCAAAGGATTGGTCCGAAATGGTAGTTACTAGATGCCAGGGAGATGACGAAGGTGTACGAAGATGTCTACATCTCGGAGCTTCGAGGACGCCGATCTCTCTTTCCCCACGCATTCGGAAGCATCCTGGATGGCTCAAGCTGTGGTGTAAATCAGGGTTGAAGCAAGTCTTCGAGAAGCAAGTCTTCGAAGCTTTGGGATGTATGCAACCGGGAGGAGCTCTGCAGCAGGTCACGAATGAGTTCGCTATTGACCAGGCTGGGTTTAGTGGTAGGGCAAAGGAGAAACTGGGCTCCGTCATGCGAACGTTTCAGCTGTCTCTTTTCTGCCCAGCGGTTTCAAGTTTCCTTCTCGAGAACTAGATTCTCAGGCTTGGAGAGATTATCCCAGCGTGCAGAAGAAGATGCACGATGTGTGCAAGGCCGTTCTACTACAACGCCACGCAGAGTGCTGCCTGTCCAGACCAGCATAGTATAGGGATGCTGTTATCCCTGCTCGCCCTGCTCCTGGAGTTCCCTGCCTAGGTTGGGGTCTTCAGCTCTGGGGCATCCGTCTGCAAGTGGATTCTTGGCCGGTACCAGACGTTATCCCAAATACACTGCGATTGCTCATTTCTCGCAGGGTCTTCATGATCCTGGCTCCTTAGTTTTGTGAAACCGTAGCAGAAGCTGCCAGTCAGCCGCGTGACTTTGCAGTTCTGCTCTGCTCTGGGCTCTTCAAGAGCCCACCGTGGGAACCCGGAAGGAATACGAGAATCAGCTCATCCGGACGCAGGTGAGGAAGCTCGGCGGTAACGATTGCAATCGTGAGTCCAGCCCTGCGCACATGTTAAGTGCTGCTCTTGAGAGGAGACGTTTCGGCATCCGGTGTTCCCCTCGCTCAGGAAGCAAGCAGAGGAAACCGCGAGAGCAACGCAGCTTCAGACAGAGTACCGCCAGAAGACCGAGGTGGATCGGCCGGCAGTTGTCATGCGTGTATGCGCGCGAAATGAGACGATGAAGGGTCATTGAAAGTCTTGCGTCGTCTGCTGTTGCAGCTGCAACAGATTCGCCTGTGTCGGCGTTGGTAAGGTCATACTGGCCGAATATGCGCTCGCCTTAGCAATGCCTGACGAGGCTTCAAGGATCTCGTTGGCTCGATGTTTGCAGGCTTCGGCTTGAAGGCTTCTGTCGGGAATGGCTGGTATGATTCATGCACCGCATGCTGTGGGATTTTTCTCTACCATACTACTGTAAATCTGCAGGCAGACTCTTAAAGAGAGCGGTCATTCGATGGCTCGAGCTGGCAGACACGTGGATCTGTGCAGCTTCTCCTTTGGTGTTGTGAACTTGAGCCCATGACTCGGCCGTGCAGAAACATCCAATCGCTGTGTTCAGTTTCAGCCAAGGTTGCCAACGTGAACCTTCTCTGAATGTGGCGTCACACCGTTACCGTTACACCCCAATTACCTGGTGAAAGTAATCTACTGATAGGGGAATCGTTTTTCTCTTCAGCAGGCTTGTAGTGCAGGATGCGGCTGCGAGTGAGTCTTGTTGACGGTTGTACTCCAGCTTTGCTTTCTTGCGCGTGGCGCACTCGTGGGAGCAAGGACAATCATCAACCAGAAGGGTGTTGCCGACAAGAACCGGATAGAACGTGACTCCGTAAGTGCCGCGCAGTCGGCGTTGGTGACAGCACAAGGAGAAGTGATGCTCGTCTTACAAACACGAGGGTTGTAAGATGTTGTAAGCACTCTCCCCCAATCAAGGAGAAAAGACAGCAGCGGTGCAGCTGAGGCTGAAAATCGTCCAGGATGAGGTGAAGCTGAACGCCACAGAATGGATGCCCGAACGGATCATGACTCCAGAACAGCTTGCACCCCGACAATGTCGACAGCTTGGGGTTCTCTGATTGCCACACTCGCTCAGCACTGCACCCTTTGTACATTTATTGGTCGGGAAGATGGCGGACTGCTGTAACATTGAGGTACAATACCAGCGGATACTAATGCTGAAGAACAAGAAGAATGCGAGCCCTGGCTGCATCTTCTCCAACCCTGAGGCCTGAATTTTTGGGAATCCTGCGCTTCGCCAATGTACGTCCTGCATTCAATACAGCTCCAAGGAATTTCGCAGTGAAGTCCATCGGGCAGTCCCAGAAACTTGCTCTACGTTGAGGACACCTGCAAGTTGTAGAATGAAGCCGGGGGCTCTTGTAGCGATGATCTCAATAGTGCTGAAGCATGCCGCCGCCTCCGAGTGAAGCGCATTCAGCTCTGGCAGGCGCTGCGACGTCGCACCACGACAGCAGACGATGAGCCTTCCGCTGCATCGCATTCGTTCTGTGTTTAAGGTTCTTTGGTGGTGCAGAGACGCTGTCTGGTGACTCGCTGCGTCAATTAGAGTTCCTGTTCTCATGGGTTGATACCAGGCAGATGTGCTGGCAGTTCCGCGTGTGAGAGGGCCGCGGTGCATCTTCTCTGGGTACCGCATGCTGGCATTTGTAAGCGGGGCCTTATATGGAATGTTCCAGAGTGCCTTCAGGAAAAAGTGCAACTAGCACCCTCACCCGCAAGCATGCGCCCGCCTCTTGAATTTGAAGCGCAGGCGCTCATTGCATGCGCTTGAGTGAGCATGCAGTGCTACTTTCTGGGGCCTGCTACCGGTGCACAGAGAGGAAGGTATTCCGAAAGCTAGAGTCAGCGGATACATGGACGGATGGCACGCTCACCCAGGAGTTTGCTGGCCCGCCGGCACAGTCACCGGCAGCCCCTAGCAAGGCTTTTGCCGTGTTGGTCTTTGCCGTTTCTGCTGCATATTCCAATCGTGAAACACGGTCGTCATGACATTGCAGACACTGTCCAAGGCTCAGCAGTGTCCTCTTGTGTGCTCACTGTTGGGCATGGAAAGCTGCAGTGGCCTGACAGCCGTGCCTGGAAGTTCACTGTGTGGTCCTCTGTTTCGTGGGCAGCTTGCTGTCGTTTTGTGCCGATGCCAAATTTGGCCACATTGAAACCTCTCACGACAATCTAGCAGCTCGTCATGTATCCGTATTTATCCTTCACTACCTACCTGCTGTCCGCAATCATTATCTGCAAGCCGGCTGGAAAACCCGCAAGCCCGCAAACGTGGGAATGAGGGTGAAGCTTTGCTGCCGGCTTCAGCAGATTCGGCTTGAAGCCTGGGGGAAGTCACTACGATGTCTCCCCGAAGCTTCGACTGTCATGTGAATGTCGGAGGCGTGTTGGGCGTTCCGATTTCTGAATGTCCTCACAAAGTGCCGATTGTTTCGGTTCAGGAAGTATATAATTGCTACTTGGCATACGAAGAATGATGGCGAAGTGTTTCGACTGAGGTGCGAGGCTTTGTTTGCAAGTTCAACAGCTCCAGCCAAATGTTGCGACAGAGCTGCAGCGACACCGAAAAGAGCGTGCATGCTTTCAGCCTGCAGTGCGTGGAGCCAGACTGACTGCTGGGATTCCGGTTTCCCGCTCTGTTTAGGTTAACTGTTGGAGCCCTCATGCCCAGAGCAAGCTGTAGCGGCAGCACATTGAGCAACATTGCCTCGCTTCAGTGGTTCCGAGTCAGTTCTGAGGGCTTGCGCACATCTGCAAGTGGAAGTCTGTTAAGGTCCGTCTTCCCGGAGGAGCGGAACAGGGCCAAGGCGGTGAACTTTGGCAGCGGGCCTGAGAAAGGCAAGTTTAGAGTGCCCGACCTCGTGCACTCGTCGCAGATGTGTATCTTGGGTCCCCGTCACTCGCCTTCCCCTCAGAGCTCAGGCATCATATACGGCATGACGGACTCACGCTTGGCAGAGGAGCTTCGGCCTGCTTCGGCTCAGGGAGCAGACGGCATGAAGTTTACAAAGACTGAACATGTCATGTACGTTGATCTTTGAGAGGATTTGAATATGCCCCGAGAAGAAGCGACAGCCCTGATGGAGGCCGGCTCATTGTGTGCTCTGCCCACGTATGCTGTCGCCGTAGCTGCAGTTGCAAGCGCTCCCCCACACTCTCGTTTCAACGCTTGAGTGGGAGCTGGAGGCTTGGTTCTCGAGCAAGCCGATGGTTAGGAGGCGGAGACGTGTTATTGTTACACAACCCAGCATGACCATGTGCATTCGTGGGAATACAAACGAACTGGTGTCTTCCGATGTTTTGCGGGAATATGTACAGTATACACTTAGTATTTTTCTGATCTTTATGTATGTGTGTGTACATACATATATATGTACATATAGATATTATATGTGTGTGTGGTGGGTGTCTATCTATCTATCTATCTATCTATGTATATATATATATATACATATATGTTTGTATGTATGTATGTATGTATGTATGTATATATTATACATATCCTGAGATATTTTCTACACAGGCATGAATGAATGTACGTGTATATACATACATATATATATATATATTTATGTATTTATGTCTATGTTTATTTGTTGATGTATTTATTTGTGTGTGTGTGTGTGTGCGCTGTGCTTCCTGCTGCCCCGCCACCTACTTCAAGCCTCAAGCCTCCTCCCTGCAGTCTAAACACCCAACCATTCCACAGTGGGGACGGAACTCAACTCGCAAGCTTAAGGCCCAAGCCGTTCCACAGGGTGAGGTCCGCGGGGGCGCAAACATATGTGGATCATATGGGTAGGGGTTTTGAAGGTGTGGAGGTGGCCCGAGTGACTTGCTACTTAAAATCGACATTGTCTGTTGCCGGCAGTCAGCATGAACAGTACTCAATTGTAGAAGTATGTGTATAATCACTCTTTACACATATGCAACATCATACGCCCAGAGAGTTATGCGTCTGTGTGTGTGTGTGTTTATTCGTGTTTGCGTGTGCGTGTGAATTACTCACCGAGCCGTGGATGCAGCACACAACATGTACACCTCTATGCAATGAGGTAATTTGGACGAAGCTGACAGCAGCCAAAGTATATAGAACAGAGTGACATCGGAGACTCGCCCCGCCACCTAGTCAATGGCAAAAAGTTTGAGGGTGACTCCTCGTGTCCGATGTGCTCACTGCCCAACAGGGATTGAACAAAAGATGGTTTTAGATTTTACATAGCGTTGTCTGGAAATTTTGCCGTGCTGCCAGCTGGAAGAAGCGGGTGGAGGACCACGCGCAGCAGGAACGAATCTCCTTGTCCTTGCTTGGCAGAGAGCGACATCTGCCGCTTTCTCAGCAAGCTTCTCTGCTATGTGGCAGTGTTCTTTTGGGGGCCAGATCCTGTCATATCCTGTCGCAGTCTGCATTGTGCTGTGCAGGGACATTGGATGCAGCTGACAGTGCCAAGGCATCTTCTTGACGACCAGGCGTCAGCCTATCATCGTGAAAGCCGCAGTCCCAGCTGCCAGAGATTTCTGTGTGGATCTGCGAGCAGCACCGGACTTGCCTGTCCTTCGTGACCCTGCTGCAGAATCGAAGCGGGCGGCAGTGAACTTCGCCATCCAGGGCTCTGCTGCCGACATTGTTACGGCCTGGGAGCTTGTTCTGCTAAGCTAGGCCAAACACGTTTGGGTATGCGTAGGTCAAAGTTCCGGTTATGCGCACTTCTAGTGTTTTGCCTGTTCACGAACTTGTCGTGGCCCCTGGGCCGATTAGTGGACAGGCCGTCATGCTTCAGCTTGAGAACTGCCAAGAGCTCACGAAGATTGGGTACCACCTCATCATGCAGGCCAATCAAACTTGATTGGGCCTTGGTCGTTCCTGTCACCTTGGCTTCGTGATATCAGTCTGTCGTAGACTGTCCATGGTTGATATTAGCCAGAAACCGGTGCAGGTGCACGACGAGATCATTTTGGAGGGCCCTGATCAGCACGCTGAAGAGGCCAGCTATGGATCCCAAGACTGCCCCTATGCGAAAGCCGCCGCAGCACCTCTGAAAGCGGTACGTGCTGATCGTTAGAACGGTTCCTTGACCACACCCAATCTGAGAAATCGGAGCTCCGGGTCACCCCTGTTTATTCAGCCTGGCAGCAACCACATGAAAACTCAGCATTGTGCCCGAATTTGTGCATTCGTGCTTCAGGCAGCTGGAATCTTGAAGGAGATCATGTACACGCCCTTTAAGGACGGAGCAACAATGGGGACTGTGGTATGATGTAGGCCCTGTAGGCCGAGACAATGCTTTCGCTCGGCTTCACGCAATGAGGACATCGCGCCATCCTACGAGTTCCTCGCCCCACTGGAGGCGCAGACAATCCTGAACAGCCAGGGAGCCTGAATTGCAGCCTTCGGAGTCCGGTACACACTTGAAGGCTCTTTCCATGCCCTGGACATCACCAGGTAAACGTCGCTATCGGGGACACACTTCAAGCGAAGGCGCCTCAGCTGCATCTCGGTCGAGAGTCTTCCGTGCGCGCTGTCCGGGTCCTCGCAGGCATGACGGCACTGCTCTGGCCTCGCTGAGGGGGTATGCGTAGCTTCCGGCTCATGAAGGAAACTGGAGGCAGAGCCGCTTATCTGTCACAGGTCTGAGTTTTCTTTGACCAGCGGCGCTGGCAAAAAGCCTCGTTTATGAGATCGGAAGCATATATCGGGACGATGATGAAGAATCGACGAGATCGAGATGAACGCTTAGGTTCTGTTTGAGACAGGATCAACGGTAATAGCGACTCACAAGCCGGAAGCACTTTGGGTCAGTGGCTGAGCGGCTGAGCTGTTGCTACATCGGTTTTCAGCCGGACTCTGCCGGCTGGGCTAAGATCAGTCTGGAAGGGATATCTCTCCAACAGTTTCTTCTTTAGTCTTTGCTCAGTCGAAGCCACTGACATTTGTCGACAAACCCGGGGAGAAGGAGTTTGAAGGACACTCAAGCTCCTATTAGTGCAGTCAATTCGTTGTAGGGTTTCTTGAGGTTTCCCAGCACCGTGCAGAGCCGGGTTCGGCAAGAAAAGTCTCTCAGTTCTCCATGCGCCTTTGCTCTGGCAGAGTTGCAATGGCCTGTACGGACGGTCCAAAGCACCCCAAGCCGGCTGCATGCCAGCAAGAGCAACTTCACAAGTTTGTTCTTCTGCCCATGCCCGCTTGCGAGGACCACTCCCTCTGGGCGCCTTGGCGAGACTTTTGTGTATAGGCCTGTATAGGCTATCATTCGAGCGGGTTTGTTGAGCTCCAGCTCGGTGACAGCTGGCTTTCTGTTTAAACTTGTGAGTGCAGGGTAGATGTCCGATTTTCTGTGATGCTCTGCTACAACCTTTACCACAGTAATGGGGCAGAGGCATGCATCAGTGCACGTCTCTGTGTGTGCGTGTGTGTGCGTGCGTGTGGGTACACACACACACACACACACACGCACGGACAGACGAAGGCGGCCAGGGAACACCCACACCCACCCACCAAAGTCTGGCCTGAATTTGACTTGGCTCATGGTGACAACGATGGAGACGTAAATGAATCACAGCGTCACATGATGTCACATCGTTGCCAGCTCCTTTCTTGCTTGGCTCATCGGTCTCGTGTAACGACTCGGCCCACAACAGCTGGGGGTGCTCTTGCTCGGCGGCAGGGGTTAAAGTCGCTGCGGGGCAAATGTTTCGCACAATGCTCAACCCCCTCGGACATGTGCGAGACAATGTTTTGACTTGCACTCCTCCCAAACGCCTCGACTCACCCCTGATGCTCAAGAGGAGAAGAAGACTCGTGCACATGTGCATGTGCAGGTGTCCGTTTGGGTGATTCATTCCCTTGTTCTTCTCACAAGCACTCACACATACCTTCATGCGTACATGCATGCATGCATGCATGCATCCGGCAGGTGCAGCAGGGGAGGCAACACACATATATACTTACCATGCTAATAAGTTACCGAGCTGGCCGCCTGATCTATACAAGTACGTACTTACACACGTACGTGTTCCGACGTACATGCTTGCATGTGTGCAGACGCACATGCAGAAATGCCGGGGTCAATGTGCATGGATGCTTGTTGGGTTCAGCCTCGGCCGCTTCTTGGTGGCAGGAGGCACTCGGATTCGAGCAGTTCGAGCCCCCCGGCAAGCCGGGAGCAAAGGCCGCTGCCAGAGAGATAGAGAGCCCTTCCCCAACAAAGCCAACTTCAAACCCAGGGCCAACGCCGACGCTGACCCCGACGGGGCAGAGGTGGCACAAGCACAGCAACAAGCCGCAGCTGCAGAACAACCGGGGCCAACAAGTGGGGGCAACGCAGCGCAAACACAGCCAGGAAGGCCCCACCGCGATTTCAGGGACAGCAGACCCCTGCGGAACAACCCCAACCGGCAAGCAGCCAGACCCAGCTACGATCTGCTCCGCGACGGCAGACAGATACAGTAGGCAGGCGACTCACAGAGAGGGACAACAGCGAGCTGTGGCAACTTCATCTGGACACCCACCGCAGAAGACAAGCTGAGCCACCAACCACTTCCACTACCACCACAGCAACCGTAGGTGGAGAACCCGGGCAAACCCCAAAAGAGGAGATGTGCGGGAGATTCACAGACGCAGAAGAACACCAGTACTGCAGAAGACGGGGGACAAACCACAGCAGAGCCAGCAGTTCGCAGGACAGGCCTCAGACAACGACACAGGAGGAAGCTGCATACCACAGGAATCAAGTGGGGGAACAGCATCTGTCGAGGGACTTAGGATTAGCCTTAGAGGGCGCGACGATGAGGCCGGGACGCGGGGATTTTTAAGTTCAGGGTCAGGGAGGGTCCCCGACACATTTCCGCTCCAAAACTTGCCGTCCAACCCGGGGGCGAACACAGCCCGTAGACCCCAAAGCCCTGATTGTTGCACCGTGAAGGAGCGAAGGGGATGCCTCGGCACGGGTCTGGTCGCCCGGACCTTGCCCCTACGGAAGGATGGAAAGAAGCCCTTCCCGATGATTATGTTGGTTTTACCTTCAATGCCCACATCGGCACAGAGGCCATCCTTTAGGCATTAGCCCAGCACAGCCCAGCCCGTTTGTTCCAAAGAATGGATGGGGCAACTCGACTGAGCGGAGAGTGGGGACTGCACACTCTTGACGCCCACGAGTGAAGCAAAGAGCAAGCGAGCTCAAGTCATCTTGATGTGTCTTGCGGTCAGGAGATGTCAGGAGGCCAAGCGAATGGCAGCAACTAGCAGCAGCAACGATAGATCGGAAAGAAGAGACCAAGGGACGAAATGTCAACAAGACAGACACCAGACAAGCCCGACCCAAGTATGTAGTAGTGGGTATACAGCAAGTTGCAAAGTACTCTTCAATCCTTGGAAGAACAGTTGCTTGCGATCGATGTTTGTCCAGAGAGTGTTGCGGCAGTGATGTGCGTTCGGAACTGTCCTGAGCGTTCTCACGACAGGCGGCTGCCCATTGTCACACGAGAACAACCTGGTCATGCAGAGGCATGGCAGCTGACATTTCACGTCCGTGCCGCTGCAACGATGCAAGCTGCGACGGTGTGAAGAAAGTTGCGCTGCAGTTTGACTTAGCGAGTTCGAGACGGCAGAAGTGTCTCTGCATTGGGCCTTTTTCTTCCTATTGAAGAGTAAGTTCGATTAAGACAGGTGACTTCGTCGATGGTGGCCGGGTTGGTGATTGTGTGGTAGTTGTTCTCGTTTTCTTTGCACAGCCCGCTTGCTTTCATGCCAGGGTCCTCTGACATGCAATGCGGCCCTGCCCCGTGTGAAGGGTTTTCCAGGCAGGATCAGTTGCCACAGTCTCGCGCTGTATAGGTGCCGAAAAGGGACGGTCGTGCCGCTTCGCTCCGGACGGCTGGAGCAGTGCACGGGCCCTGATATGAGTGGAGGCCTTCTCAAGCTTTGATCGCAGCGCTGGCTCACACCATCTGCTCTCGCCGTTAGCAGACGTTCATGAAGCCATCGCAAGCCGGCAGTGGTTGTCATGCAGTAGAATGCTAGCGCAATACCATTAGGCTGCGATTGAATGAAGCATGCGCATTGGGGGCTTTTGGCTCGAAAGATCCCCGATCCCGGAAGCGGCACGGGCGTGGGACCAGGATGGGTTTCCTGTTTCCAGGCTGCATCCCGCTTGATCAGTGCTTTGGTCGGTCGTGGAGACGAATGAGCAACTCAGGCGACAAATAGGCTTCTGGAAGAAGACTTCTTCGGCGGTTGTCCCGTTCGACCAGGAAGCTCTGTGCGATAGACGCAATGAGGCGCGTGGAAAGCTTGCCGTGGTTCGAGATTTTCCGGATTTTCCAGCTGCTGTACACCAGCAACCGACACGAGGTTAAGCTGCTGACTCCGGATGCGCGGTCCAAGCTGGGGAGCACCAGCAACAGCACCGCTTGCTCCGACGATGCTGCTTGTTATGATTGCACGACCACTTGAAATAAGTCATAAGGGTGGTTTGCAGAGATGTGTGCCGGAACAGGGCGGATGCGCACCTGGAGCCTGGAGTCCCGAGTTGCTTTCTTATGCGCTTGTGCTCGAATGCAGCTGCAGAAGGGAAGCAACCAGAGAATCATGGCACCAGCACATCGTCGCGAATGACTGGAAGCACCAATTGAGGCAATGCACCGCCCCGAGCTTCGCACACCCACACCCGGGTCCAGCCCATCGGAATCGCTGCTTTGCTGGCATCCGGTCATATGCTATAGCTCAGAGGTGCTGGTAGGAGCTGGGGTTAAAAAAGAGGATCTTTATTTGGGGAATACCTGGTTCGCATATGGCATATGTACCTGGGGTCCGACAGCTGTACGTCCTGCTGGCCAAGGGGTTTGAAATTGTGCCGGGGAAGGATGGTTGGTGTAAAGCACCAGGATCTGTTATCATTGCAACTTAGCATGGACGAGAGAGGAGGGCAGAGAATGTGCGTGGATGCGTGCTCTCGGGTCTGCAAGTAGGAAAATGAAAGCGGGCAAGTCAATTATGGAAGTAAGTGTGCGTGTGTGTGTGTCGAGTCTGAGTGGGCATGTTCTGCGGACTTCGGTTTTGTTCTGTATCTGAAGAAGGAGCACCTCAGCTCAAAGGCCCGATGTGCCAAGATTTAGCGTAAGTGTTTGGGCTCTCCATAATTGCGAGAAGGAAACCCAAGTCGCTGGAGAGAGAAGCCCCCAGCATGATTTAAGTGCTGGATCACATAGCTCCACTGTCACTCGATTGCCGAGGACTTGCTCGTACGCCACTGGATCCGCCAATGTTTCCATGGACCCACCGTCGAGCCCACTAGCAGACTCGGAGGACACCTTTCCGCTTTGGGATGGTACCCTAATGTACCCTATATGGTACCCTATATAGCCTAAGCAAGACTTGCCAAACGTGCAGTGTTGTTGCCTGCAAGCAATCCAACGGCAGAGGTGTAAACTCAGGCAGCGAAGGAGAAACTTCCCAACACAACTCGACTCCTCAGGACGATCGCAGGACTTCACTGCGCTCCACCGCGGTCGCACCCCCGCATTCCCCACGCGTGGTTGAGGAAGTGCTGCACGACTCGACGAAGGAAGCACAGCCACTCGGGGTCAGGGTCGCTGGACGTCGATATTCAGAAAGTCGAATGGATAGCACTAGGCGCATGGAAAGAGCATGCAGATTGCGCAACGGTCTGGAACCTGAAGGAAACCATTATCCTCGACTTCAAGCTGTCGCCAAGCGAGCCAATGCCTGAGTCAGTTGAAAGGGGTGCATTATGGTTGCGCCCCACCCTCGCCCCTTTCCCCCTCCCCCAATCAATGGTTTCTCCCGCAAAAGGTTGGGTGGTTTCGGCCTCAACCCTGCTCCCTCTGTGGAGGAACAGGTTTTTGCCTTGCGCTGTTTAGTTCCCCGCCCGCGTCTATGGACAATGGAATGCCTGAGTTGTTTAGGCTGCAGGGTTGAGGCTTCATGAGGCTTCAGTCTAAGACTCTTCCAACCGTCCTCTACAAGGCCCTACAACACCCCCGGCTTCCGAAGTATTCCAATGCTATCCCGCGCTATCCCGGAAAGAGCGACTATTGCATGGAATATCATTTGGAGCACTCCGCGCTTCAGTTCTTGCGTCATTTGCATTTGCGCTCTGTCGGATCTATCGACAGTCTGATCTTCAGTCCGACCTTTGATTCCGGACCCGGCTGCGAAAGCGGCAGCCATATGAGCCTGAGCTGGTGGCTCAAGATTGTCCTTCCCGTGTCGGCCGGGTGGGCGGGGGAGTGGCACCTGGGCTGCTTGGGATGACATTCTTGAGGCCCACACATTGCTCACGTGGAGCGGCACTCCTCCAAAGCCAGGTTCCTGTTGTGACCTGTTCGTCCCGAGCCAAGAAGACCTCTGAGCGCCACTGTCACGCCTGAGCCGGGTTCCCCCCTGTGGTTGCGGTCGGCTGCGCCCCCTTCCATGGCTATTGCTGGTTGGGCGTCCGGTTGCTAAGGGTTTGGACCGTAGGATGTGATGCAGTTCCATTGAACTCCGACCTGCTCTGAGCTCCAAAGCCAATGACAGTGATGAATATGATGGTGATGATGATGACGAAGATGGTGGTCATGATCCCCATCCGCACTCTCCTCACTCAAACACGTGCTCGAGCTTACTTTGTAACGAACCCAACGGAAACTTGGCTTGGAATCGATACAGTTTTCGCAAGAACATCACAAGCCAAGCGCGGTTTCCAACCAGATAAAGCAATGAACATGTGGTGCCGAAGGCCAGAGCAACATAAGAGCAAAAGTACCACCAACAGCCACACGGGGATTAGCACATCAACATCATTGTGCGCAACATCATCCCCATCATTCTCATTTGCGTGTCGAAGAGAGGGGAAGGCGAAGGAACCCTGTGGTTCCCTGTGTGGATTATCCTTCCCCTCCCCGCCCCTGTGGTTCGCTGTCTTGTGGTTCCATGGTTGTGGGTTATCCCTCCCGCCCCCCCCGTTTCCCAAGGCGAAAGGCGAGGCTTGGCTTGGGGGGGGGGGGGTTACGCGGATGACGTGTGACTGTTTCATGGGACGAGAGGTCTGGCTTTGGGGGGGGGGGGGGGGGGGGGCATGCCTTGGGCGGTGGGGGGGGGCCTGCGACGCGGCGACGCGGCACCATATATAATGAGGCTGCGGGGTGACAAGCGCCTTGCCATAAGAAATTCTCATTGCTCGTCTTCCGACATTTGCTTCAGTGAATCTTGTGTGGCTTTAGTGTTGCTTTTTTGCGAGGCTTCACCCTGCGTGTTCGGATTGAAATTTGCTTCCTTAGTGCATCTCATGCCCAGGATGTATGCAGCCATTGCCGCAGAGCTTCTTGGACATCTTGCGGTTCACGGAGTTGAGATCGGTTCTGCATGTGTAAAGAACTGGTGCCGGTAGTGCTTGCGGGCTTTTCAGGGAATCAGCGCCGTCAGGTTTGGTGAGGAGACTGCATCCCTTCTGCAGTCTACGAAGTGGGACAAGAGGCAGCGCGGGCTGCAGTCGCGCCTCGGCCTTCTGAGATGATTAAGCGGACGTTCGCGCAATTTTTTGTGATGTGAGGATTTCAGCGGTGCTCAACGGCAGTGACCTGGAAGGCTCCGTAAGAGTGAGGTTTGACGGAGGCATCAAGATGCATCATGTGGCTCTTAAGCATCGTCCTGGTCTGTGCGAGGGGTTGCTCTGCCGGGATCTGCGCGTGCTTCGACGAAGGGCTTGTTCCGTCGCCGGGCAGCAGTTGGTCCGTTCTTCACTTATCCCTTGAAGTCGGCGACGGGCCAGACATTGACCCACGGTTTTAGCTTTGCCGATTTGTTTTGGTCAGGCGAGCGAGCAGCTGCTTGGAGAGTCAGCTGCCTTGTGCTGAATCATGTGCTGCGGGACAAGGCCTGCTGGCTTCAGCCTGCTCATGTCTGGACCTGGCAGATTCCAGATTCTTCTGACTGCGAGGTGAATTTAAGCTTGAGGGATTAGCCGTGCCAGTGTGGCAGGTTATCCCCGTTGGCTTGACGGCCTTGGAGCTATTTCGGGACTGGAGCAGTTGCATAGGTCGCAAGTGTCGCAAACATTCGCAGATCAATGGGCAAGCCAGCATCGAAACATCCGCAAGATGAATCTGAAGGACACCTTCCAGAATATCGACGTGAGCATCTCGGCTGCCCAGGCCTCCCAATGATGCAGACTGTGTTTGAACGGATGCTGTATTGTGTGAAGCACGAACCGTCCTCGGGCAGGTGCAGCATGCAGTCTCCGTCCTCATCGAGCATGTCATGTTCCGGATTGGTGACTCGAATGTGCGGTTGCATGCTGCTCGGCATATTGGTCGAAGAGCAGGGATTCTCAAAAGAGTCTCAGATGCCATGGCCCTATGGCACCTAGCATACTCCAGCAGTTTGAACGTTATGGTGAATACAGGCTTAGTAGCAGCATCAAGTACAAAGCCCAGAGAATCTGAGCGAAAGAGCACGTACACACGTCTTATGGACCCGGTGGGCAAGTAGCAGCATATCGACTCCCATGTGCTCCTCACTAGTGCCGTGCAACTTGCCAGTGTCGCATATCGTTTGTGGTTGTGTGTCAGAGCCTGCTGCCGAGAAAGGCTTTCTTTCTGACGACAGTTTTTGAATATGCAGAAAGGTGCTGCGCAAGTATTCTCACAAACATAGGGAGACTGTAGATAGACAGATGAGTGCTTAAGTAAGTAGGAACGCATGGATACAGGCTTATGTTTGCATCCGAGGAAGGTGCTCGACGTGACCTCGTTTTTGCTGCGTCCCGCCAGCTTTTGGGCATCGGAGGCCTGCTGAAACTCAATTAGCACAATCGTATACATGCTCCCGTCCTTGACGTGAGACACCGCACAAAATCTCGCTCCGACACCCGTAGTATACAGTGGTTCGGGCGGTGAAGCATTAATACATAAGCAGGCAGCCCCTTGAAACTGCTTTTGCTGCAGGTGTCCTCGATCGACTGCAGCAGCGGCTGGAGTCATGGCCAGATTACAGATTGAAACACCAACTGCACACTGCTCGCGGTTACAGCTATAAGCGCTGGAATCTGCCACGGTAAAGGAAAGGTAGCTTCGAAAGAATAATAAGTCAGAGCTGTCCATGCAGCATAAGTATAAGCCGAAAGAGTGAGGGTTCTTCCTTAGCCGTAGAGCTTTAGCAAAATGCCAAGCATGCCTTGTGATTTAAGATTCGCCGACATTGGTTCATTGTTTGACCGGGGCGAGTGACGCCTCCTGCGCACTGTTCCGTCACAATTTCGACAGGAAACGGCACCTCCCAAGGGAGGCGAGCGCAACAAGGTGCTGTTCGGCATCCTCGACACGGCGCCGCGACTGAATTTTTGCCACGATTGTGTGTGGCCGGCATTGCACTTCTTGACTAATGACAGAGTTGCAAAATGCTTAGTGACCTGCTTTTGGATGGCCCTTGCAGGTCGCAGAGATCATCCGAAGCTACTCGGAGTCATCTTCCACTGGCCCACCCAGTCCTCGCAGCTGGTCAGGAAGGGCTTCATCAGGGATTGAAAGGCTGAAAGGCGTTCGCTTTTTCGTCGGAACAAGAGACCACAACGTAATCTCTTCTTGAGACCTCATGGCGAAGGCGTGATGTTTCTGGCCAACTCATGTGGCAAGCTGGTCTGGGTACGAAAGTAGGATACGGGTGCGATTGCCGGAAGACATCGAGCCAGTGTACGTGCTACTGGAACTGTCTAGTCTCTCGGTGGACCAAGACACTTGGAGCATCGAAGTCATCAGTGGCTTCATTGCAGCCGGAATGGAGGCCAGAGTCCCGCCTAGACGCCATGATGCACGCTGCAAAACACGGGCGCCCCTGATATTCATGTTGCCGGTACGTTCTGTGTTTGGCAGGAATCCCTTGGCCCACGTGTGCGGAATAGCACCGTAGCCTCTTGGATGGAGCAAGACTTTTTGCCGCCAGCCCTTCGAGAATCGATTTCTGCGGGCTGCAATTCCTGGCGAAGTTTTCGAAAGAAAATCGAGAGAGAGAGAGAGAGAATCGTGTTGTTGCGCGGAAAAATGAGCAATAGTTAGGGTCAGGGTGGTTGTAGGCGCTAGCAGTAGGTAGTCGCCGCAGGCAGGTGGCAGCACGGTGGTATCCGTAGTCATCATCGTCGTTCGTGGTGGTGGCGGTGGTACTGTAGCAGGAAGTGTAGCCGTAGCCGTAGCCACAGCAGTAGTAGTAGTAGTAGCGCTAGCAGTAGCAGTGGCTGTAGCGGTAGCAATAGCAGTAGCAGTGGCAATAGCCGTAGCAGTAGCAGTAGCAGAAGCAGCAGCGACGGCAGTAGAGGTGGCAGTAGCGGTAGCAACAGCAGTGGCAGCAGCAGCCGCCGCAGCAGCACGAGTTGTAGTAGTAGCAGCAGCCGCAACCGCAGCCGCAGCAGCAGGAGTTGTGGTGGAGTAGTAGCAGTCGTCGTAGTACTGTCGTAGTACTGTCTTAGTCGTAGTCGTAGTGGTGGTAGCAGCGAGTCGGAGGCCAGGAAGTAGGGGGAGCAGGAAACATCTGTTTCATAGTCGTAGTCCAGTCGCAGTCGTAGGTAGTAGTAGTAGTATAGTATAGTTGTTGCTAGTAGTCGTCGTCGAGGTAATGGTGGTGCTGCTGGTGCTGGTGCTGGAGTAATTTGTGGTAGTAGTGGAAGTGATGAGTCGTGAGTCGTTCGGGTGGACGCGGACTATTGTCTGTACACTTAGAAGACGGCTGGTGCTTACCAAGCGGGTTATGGTGCTTTCTTCACGCGGCGGCTTAATCAGCAATGACTCAATGACTATGAGAACCTACACCATGCTCCAGTCAACTTTCCGCACTCGCGAATTCGTGCACATGCTCAATCTGCTGATTCAATCGGCTCTGCCAGTCGGACAGCACACATCCCCTGCAAGGGTATTGCAAGTTTTCAACTTGGCACGCCTTAGAAGTTACCGTGGAGGCAGCAGGTATGCTGTTGAAATGGAGGTTGTGACGGAGCCAGCATGGGTGTTGCAGGGAACGGATGCTCCGGAAAATAGGCGTTATCTGTGGCAGCATGGATGCTCCAGAAAATGGAGGCTTTCCTGTGGCCAGCATGGATGTTCTCAGGAATGGATGCCTGTCCGATCCTGATACAGCAGGAAGACTTTGGTGTAATCTGTCACCCTGCTTTTTCTGTTACTCGGCGATGCAGGAAGGAGACAACAGATACAGCAGGAAGTACGGTGCTTGATTGTGGGAAAATTTGACCTCCACTCAACCGCAGAAAAGTGCGGTGAGCTGGGCGCAGCGGAAACGGCATGGATCTTGAAGTAAGATGTGCGACCGTCGCGTCGTCGCCTGCGGCCGTGCTGTCTCTGCCGGCCAAAGCCCAAGCCCTATAAAATGTCCCAACATCATCGGAATGTGGTGCGATCATGGTTCAGGCCCTTGCTGCTGCGGTGTACAGCATCCTGGCCGATGTGGACCTGCACAGCAACAAAGGCAAAACAATGGATTTTTCCGTCGCTGCCGAGGACTGCGGGGCCCGAAGGTCGCCGAGACGTTGATGGCGGGTCTCCGACCTGCAAAGAAGGCCTTGCTGAGACAGAAGTTCCAAGAGATCGACGAGGAAGCAAAGGGGTCGCGAAGGGTTCAATGCTTTTCTTTCAATGTCGGGTAGTGACAACGGAGCCTCTGGGGCCCTTGTCAGGAGAGCTGGTCTGGTGAGCCTGATGAGGAGGAAGACTCCCAGGGAGGCGCATTCCTGAGCGATTTTTTGCCGCTGTCTTCGACAAAACTGCGGGTTCCACTCTCGATTATGATGGAGGGCTTTTGGTGCAAATTCGAGCGCTTGGGCGGCATTCTGCGCAGGTGATGTTCGGCCAGACTTGGATGGCTGCTGCTGGTCTTTGAATTTGGTGTCACCGCTCCTTTAATTACCGTTTCGGCTGGTGATCTTAAAGGTGGTTCCGTGCCTCGACCCTGGGTTCGAGAGAGTCGCCGAGATTTCCGTCCGTTCAATCGTTTGAGGGCAGAGCGAACCTGCAACAAGTCTGGGAATAGTCCATAGATCTTCTGGTGGTTGTCAGCTGCGTCCACTGAGGCCTTCACGTGTGTTCTGCACTACCAGCGCTTCCGGGAGTTGTTGCAGGCGCAGGCCCTATCGCGGCCATTAAGACGAGCCCACCTGGCCCACCTGATTTTGCAGGAGAGGAAGAGTCTTTGATGGACGGGATTCTGGAGGAGCCATGCCTCCAACCGAAGCAGAGATTCTGTGTTGTGGCGGCCCCGCATACCTCATCAGGAGACAGGCCTGGTTTTCAACGGAGCCGGCATCCACAACGACGAAGCACGCCGGCGAAGTATCCGGAAGTCAGTCTCCTTCTGCCAGGAAGATGTACCTTGGACCTCACTTGCGTTGGGTTTCCATGTGTTACTGCAGGTCCGCCACAGGTCTTGTGGGTTGTCACACTGCACGACTGCTTTCTCTATTGGGTTCGTGTCAGGACATCGTAGAGGTGGAGCAGCACCAGGACGAGGCACCGCGTGCACGGGACTGATGACAGAGGCCGTGCGCCGAAGAAGTTTGTGCTGGTGGCCTTCGCGGCTTGTGCAGTGTCCACGGGCCAGGGATGACTCTACAGCCCAGATTACACCGCAGCACGGCGCTTGCAGGAGCTGCTTCTTGATCACGAGGTCTGGGCGCTTGGCATTGACGTCGAGGACTGGTCTCTTCAAGAGGGCAGGTGTGTCAAGGATCTTTGCTCCGGCTGCCTCGAGTGGCGCATGATCATGTTGAACCACGTCGGAAGGAGATCGACGAGCAAGAGGCTCTGCTGAGGGAGACGCCTGCCATGGCATTGGTCTTCCCTAGGGTGACCTGTGCTAAAAAGGCAGTACAGGATTTTGAGAAGAACGCTGGAAGGAGTCTTCCCGCAAAATGCTGAGCTGCATGATTTGGTGCTGCAAAAGCTGTGGCTCAGGATCCTGATGGGAAGCGAGGACGAAGACGAGGACACTCCACGAACACCGATTCGTGCACCACACCACGAGGTCTTGTCTGCATCTTGGCGGTCTTAAACGGTATTCTGCAGGCGGTCCAGATTGCCGGCATCGGATGTGATTCTGAGTCCGCGTCTTGTCAAGGTGGATGCATGCTGAGACATCTGCATCCTCAACAATTTCAATGCAGGACTTCTTGATGCATGGCTTCAGTCGAGAAGCGTACGAACGACAAATCGCTTACTGAGTAACTACAGTTGAGCATGCTCGTGCACTGCTAGTCAGGACTTCTCAAAGTCTATGCACCCACTCAGAAGATGTAGCACAGGGTGCAGGCATCAGCGGCTTGGCTGGCATAAGTCTTTCTGCGCTGGCGGAGTTTTTGCAACAGATCATGCTGGTCTGCACGTTGTGCGGAAACAATATCTCTCCCCCATGCGTGCAGACGGTGACATGCAGGGCTAGAATTGCTGGAGCTGTGGCTAGACAGGTCGAGCAACTATATACATGGTTCGGCAAACCACGCTCTCTGTCTTTCTTAGTGTGTCGGTGCGTGCCCTAGGCCGCTAGGTCCCCTAGGTGTTGTGCAGATTGCATGCTGTTGTATGCTCATCTGACTCCCAAGCTTTGCCGAGCCCATATTCGCGCAGAGTTGCAGCAATGGCAGGCTTTCAGCGCACAATGTGAATTGGACCCGCTGTTCTGACGTCTTGCTCCGAATTTAAGTTGTTCAAGCTGCCATGGACTTGCCTTGACGGTGCAGCGGAACCTTTTACAGGGCATGTTCATTCAACTCACGTGAAGACTAGAGTTGAATCTGCAACGGTAGTTGCGGCGTTTAGGTTCTCGCGAGCTGCAGAAGGGACTTCTTGCACCATCAAGGTTGGTACGCTTCGTGCCACTTCACGTTTCACGTGTGTTTCACTGTTCTTAGATCTTAGGTCTGCCGATCGCGGCAGGAGCAACCAGTCAACGAAGGGGTGCCGATAATTGATGTGCCCCGCACAGCCAGTTGTGTGTGTGTGTCTTCAACACAGCATGGCTTTGATTTCAGCAGTAGCATCCTAAGTTGGATACCTCCACTGAGCACGAGCACGAGGCTAAATCCGGCGTCATGTAGGCGTCCCGGAGACGAGAAGCAAAGCTTGCATCTACCAACTCCCCTCCTGCGAGATGCACTTGCAAGTATCATCGAAGGAATTTGAGAGCCGGCAAGGATGTCCAAAGAACTAGACTGTATAATGCGGTCAACACGATCCAGGCTAGCAGCGGGATTCCTTGCGCGACTTTGGAATGAGGGGTTTTCCATGCGCCCTCGAAAAGAGCTGCGCTTCAGAATGCTGGGTCGTATCTGGAATTCTGTGTGCGATCATGCGCTACAGCCTTGCTGCGGTACTATATACTTCTTAACAGATTCTTCTTCAGCAGATGTACTAAATTTTACGATTTCTAGCCCGCCCTTCTCGACTGCTGCAAACTGGAATATCCGGAACTTATCCGAGGGTGTAAATGAACACAGCCATTCGCGAGCGACCCAAACGAATGTGCCCCTCCAACTACACAGACAGATGCCGACGGCATGAGCATCGCCCGTATCTGTCTTCCACTGCAAAAAAACGGAAGTTCTCCTACAAAGAGTTAAACAGCCAGGCGCCTCTCCGAGGTTCGTTTCCGTTTTGCAGAAGCAGAAAGTTATGTCAGAATTTCAGCGCAGACGTCAAGAGCGGGTAGCCCTGGATCTTGATCAAGAGTCACGGCAGAATCAGATTCCTAGTCCAATTCCATGTTGGCTGCTTTGAGGGAGATGCCCGATCTTGCTGCTTCGTCATGCCACGGCTGATACGAGAGGTTCAGCCAAACTCACGTCATCTTGATCACGCTTCGCGTCCGAGCTGATCCGGAAACGAAGCCTTGCACATGGAGTCCCTGGAGCCAGAGGCTTTCCATTAAGGAGACATTCGGAGCTGATGGCATGATGTGGTGGAGCAACGCTTTTTTAAGTCGAGCATGCCATCAGTTCCCTCTGCCTGGCCCAGCCACTCACATCCACAATGCTTTTCATAGAGTTTTGTCACAACCTGTGCTGTGAACTCAGCTCCAAGAGCTGAGGTGCTCAACATAGGCTGATGGATGATGCTTTCCTCAAGAAATGCAACCACACCTGGTTGTCGGAAAGTCGGTTCGCCAAGCCTTCGTCTGCAACAGGCATGACCTATCTTAAAAGTGTGCGAAGGCTGGGGAGCCAACCTCTTCGTGCTCCCAGCACAGCCCGAAGCTGAGATATCCGTCATCAGCCTCGAACGACAATCGAAAAGTAGAACAGTCATTTAACAACAAGGTCCACAGGTGACAGATTGGGTACATAGGTAATTGACTTGTGAGTGCACATATAACACACACACACACATACAAACACGGAAGTATTGCTTTTCGCTGCATGAACCGCGTTTGGCACGAGGTGGCTGCAGGAGATGCTTCAGCAAAGCGGAGGCGCGCCATGACAGACGAGATGCACAGCTCAACTCCGTGTGAGCAGCTTCCCAGTTGCGCAGAAGCTTGGTGTGTGTGTGCCTACTTGCCATTTTCAGCATGGATAGAGCGTTTTCCTGTACGCAGACCCGGACCGTCATCGTGCCACCATGAAGTTGTTCTTTCTAGGAAGCGACTTTGATTTAGATGATTTAGTCATGTCGGCGTTGAAATTAGAGACAATGCCAACCAACAGTAGGCGTCTCAGTCGGAGTCACAGATTTGAAACAGTTGGAGTGGCATTCCCAATGGGGATGGATGGCCTCCAGAGTGCGCGCGGCATGTCTGTGGGGCAGGCCTGTAGGGGGCACGTGAGAGGAATCGCGGTCCGGTCTGAATCCTAAGCCATGCTCAGAAAGCCTAGTCGAGCCTGTTTTTTGTAAGGCTTCCAGGTGTTGGCTGCACACCAAGCTTGAAAGTTTCCTGATGCTTTCAGCCGAAAATAGATTCCACTGCCCAAGTGTAGCAGATCGAGTGCGTAGTGTATCCCTCGTTCAGCAACGTTCAGCAGCCATGAACATCTGCGGAACCCTTACAGAATTTAAGCCTGGCTTGCAGGTGGTGTGTGCTGGCCTGTTTTGCCTGCCTGGCAGGGACAGGACATCCTGGTTCGAACAAGCGCTTGCGGCAAGGAAGGTCCCGTTTGATTCTGGCCAGGAGACCACTCTCTCGGCTTCAGCGTGAAGCCTCACACACAATACCTGGCGGTGGCGGTTTCCGACCGCTACAGAGACTCGCTGAATGACCTGGCGCTTTCCGAGACTCTTGACCTTACCATTAGGTTCGCTTACTTTGGATTTGCCGGCCCTGACATGGGTGTCCGCCCCAGTGCCCGGCCGACAACGAGCTAAGCATGGTGGCAACATACATAAAGAGAGGAAGAGGGAGAATGCGACATACAGTTCGGCGTTTGGTTGGGGGAGCATGATTAGACATGGAGGTGGGCTGGGAAGGCTCTGCACGTGTACGTGCCCAAGGTACTATAAAGGGCAGCTTGAAGAAGAGGCGGCAAGCGAGAGCTGCATACATACAAAGGTTGGAGTCCTCGGGCTTCCGCAATATCAACTTCGCCGCCGGTCGCTGGTATTTTGACGCCCCGGCCTCGACCTGTGCCAAGAACTATCTAGACAAATGCCATGCTCCGAAAAAGGGTGCACAGGCGTAAATCCACATTCAGCGTACCGTAAAGGCAAGCTGTGCTGAGGCAGGGCTGCGGCATTCTGATGCAAGGGCCCTTGCAGAGACTTGGAAGCATTCGAGCACTATCTCGCAATGCTCTGAAGCTCGTTCACGGCATGGATACGCATGGCATGTTTTGCAGTATGCCAGGCGATAAAGCACGTGGCCAGCATTCGCGCGATCGCACTGCGCGCGAACCTTTCGACAGCACCGTGGCGGAAGTGATTTTTCAGCTTCAGCTCGGTACATGCCTTGCTGCTGAGCTCCAGGCCAAAGATCCGCTGTCGGCACTTGAGCTGGCGCTGCTCGTGGATGGGGCGGCGAAGTGGAATGCGACACTGAAGGCGGGCCTTGGACTCATCTAATCGGCATGATCGTTGCATCAGAAATGTTGCTGGAATAAAGCTGCAACAGGAAGTCGCCGCAACTCGCCGGTGTTCACCATCTACGTTCCGCGTTGTTTCCCGGCGCTCCCTGCCTGCTGGAGTGGAGCAGGACAGTGTCGGAGGGATTTCTCCGATTGCCCAGCTATTCAATGAGACCCCATTGCCGAGGAGCTTGAGAAGCTCCTCGCACGTCGGTTCGGCTGGAGAAGGCAAGTGCGAGGACGCCGCGTGGCCAAGCATGGAGCAGCAAACAGGCGTTTACTTTGGTTTGTTCTTTTCACCACCAAGTCTAGCGCTGTCGTGGCCCGAGAGCACGGATGAGAAGCTCACCAACCATGCCCTCGCTGTTTGATCCCCTTCGCAGTTTATAGATCGTCCGGGATGGAAGAAAGCAACCACCGCGGGTGAGATCTTTGAGTCTGAGCCATTCAGGCAAGGCGGACATCACGATCCATCTATGCGCGAGTGGAGGCATCCTACAGGTGGAGGCGATGGATTTCTGCTGATCTTCGGGATTCCTTTCTATCTCCGAAGTCTTTCTGGGAAGGTTTGCGTATGTAGAAGGAAGCATTCTTCCAGCCCGGGCAAAGCCAGCCTATGGTCACATTGATAGATCTTGGTCCATAATTAACATGCGGTTGATTGGGGCACAAACCCCCTGAAACGAGCCTTGGAGGTGCCGCTGCTATGTCAAGAAAAGGCTTTTCTGGGTGGCGGATTGCCTCGTCCAGGCCAGGTTCGGCTTCGGCAGCTTGTTTTTTACATACCTTTTCAATTTTTCTTCGGAAGGGTCGAAAATTGGGAGGGGGGGGGGGCAGTTGCTTCCGTGGCTTTAGCATTCTTTCTCGGTTGATGCGAACGGCCTTCCCTAAGGCCCAAGAACACACCTTCAGGTATTCCTGAAGGTCGGACTGACTCCTACCAGAGAAGCATGGTTTGCTTTCCCTTCATGCACGTCTGAAGAACGATCAACACGTGGTTCACACAGTAGTGCCGGTAGGCATGACAAAAAGTAAGCCTATGCTGGCCTCGTCCTTGCCTGGTCCTGAGGGCTGGGGCACGTGG